TTGACTAAAGAGCTTTTAATCAGGAAAGTGATGTGATGACATTTCTGTGGCAGTGTGGAAGAGTATTGGAGGAGGTCAGGCCCAGATCGAAGCTCCTTAGGGGGCTTGTGACAGATCTGGGGAGAATAAATCAGAAGGCAGAGAAAGGAGCAAATACTGGGTAAGGAATTCAGATTTTGGATCTGCATGTCTTTATAGTTCTCTTTTTACAAACAAGAATCTGGAGGAGTTAAACAATAAATTATTAGGATCTTTCTTCTCGTATTCTACAGTACTGCTTTTGAAGGTGGAGCTGGGGAGCACACAATTATAGAGAGGCGAAACAAACTGAATTATATCTTGGGAGCTTGGCTTGGGGAAAAACAGGTCAACAAGAAAACTTTACAGTGGCAAGGAAAAATGGACAAGAACCAACAAAGAAAATTTATTAATTCTGGACAGAATTTAGGAAAAATTTACAATGAGAAAAATAAGCCAGAGTCCAGTGATAAACAGAATAAAGAAAATCACAACAAAAATAGCATTGAAGTTAGGCAGGGAAAAAAACAAACAGCTATCCCTGGCCTGAGGCCAGAGGAAACCATACAAGCAGGTCCTTCTCTCTAAATTATTACAAAGGGGAAAGCCAGTTAAAACAAACACCACAAGCAGTCCTCTTTCTCCTCCCACCCTTTTCTTCTTTGAGATTAGGGTAGGGGGCTAAGTGGGCTGAGGCGAGTGGAGAGGCTAAGGAGGGGATGGTACTGAGTTTTCATTAGCAGCTAGAAGGTATTTTAACCATATGCATGTTGCATATGAGCGTTATTATAATGGGAAAAGGTTTCTGTCTTTCCTCCTGCTCAGCTGCCGGCAGCGCAGTTCTGAGCCGTCTCCAGACACCCTGTCCCCCAGAGATGGGCCCCTGGTCTCCGCGTGCAGAGATCTCCACATATTTACAGGAAACACGGTGACTACACCACTGCCACCATCCCGCTCAGCCCATCAACCAAATGTCACTTTGGAGGCAGCACCAGCTAAAGCTGCAACTGCCGCAACAACAAAAACCAGAATCCAAACATCCCAAGCAGGTGTCTTCACTTCACACCGAAATTAAAAACATCTGAGCTTAGGGGCGGGTGGGGACAGGCTTCCGAGCATTCATCATGCCAACTAGGCGAGGTCAGCTCTGATTACTGCTGGGCAGCTGAGTCCACTGATTTCCGTGGCTGGAGGCCAGGATTGCATAACATACGCAGAGGCCCAAGGAGCTACCGAGGACCGGAAGGGCCCCTGCACCTCCCGCCTCCCCGCGAGGCCCTGGTTCCTCTGTAGGCCACGGCAGGCAGGGGAGGGCTTGGGGGAGCCCCATGGAGTGGAGGGGAAAATTCCCTTTCCAAGCAGGCTCTTGCCAAACGCCATGATGGAAAGGCAATTCGTGAGACGTCCATCCGGGCAGGATAGAGGCCACAAGATGGCAGCAGAGGACACAGCCTTGGGCACAAAACATGAGCCATCTTGCAAAAAAGCAGGTCGAGAAACGGAAGAGAATTCATTTGGAAAGCACTGCCAGATATCTATAGGCATGTATCCCAAGCCAGAATAAATAATTAAATGGTAAAATTCATCAGTATGGGGTATTTTCCAAAAGCCAGTGCTCAGCTACCCACGAAGAAGGCCAAATAGTGTGGATATTTCTCTTCTTAGAAGCAATATATAGGGGCCCTGGCCTTTAAAACCTGATGACTGCAGGCCTTTGCCACTGTCCCCTTTCTGCGCAGTTCCAATTCAGGTAAAATGAGTGACCTCCACAGAGGCTGAGAACTGATAGAGTGGAAACTGGTTGCCGGGGAGTCTTGCAGCAAAGCTGAATACTTCGAAGGGCAGCCAGGGATCTGCAGGGATCCATCGGCAGGGTGAGGAGACGAGGATTAACACAGGGGAAGTCCCCATCCCCTCTTGCAGGTGCCAGAGGGTTATGTGCAGGAAAGGCACATTATTACATCGAGATAAAATTCCAGCTCTTCTCACCTGGTATCTAATGCTTCTTCCAGCACACATTCCCTTGCCCTTCCCTCTCCTCCAGAGTTGTGATTAGCAAAATGTCTGTGACATTGCAAAATACCCTCCAGAGGGCAAAATGACCCTTCCCTGAAAACCAAGAACTCCATGTTCAGTCCCTCCGGGACACATGGATTTCACAAGGTCTACATGAACCATATTATACGTCCAAAACCTGAATTCCTACCATGTGGGTTTTTCATTTTTTATTTATTATTATTTGCAGTACTGGAGATAAAAGCAAGAACCTTGCACGTGGTAAGCAGTACTCCATCGCTGAAATACATTTCCAGGCCTTTGTAACTTTTTATCTCCAGGCCAGGTCTTCCTAAATTACTCAGGCTGACCCTGAACTTGGAATCTCCTGTTTCAGTCTCCCTAAAAGCTGGGACTGCAGGTGTGTGACAACATTTTTGTTTTTAAAACTTGTGTTTTTGTTTCTTTTTGTTGCTGTTGTTCTTTGAGGTCGATTCTGGCCATGCTGCCCATGGTGGTCTTGAATTTGTTATCTTCTCATCAATCAATGCTTCCTAAGTGGCTAGGGTGACAGTCACAGGCTGCTGTGCTCAGCCCTACATTTGTATAATGTAGAGACAGACAACCAAAGGAGCACAGACTGAATCTGGCCCTTGCGTTAGAAGCTGAGGAGGATCGCAAATTTGAGGCTAGCCTGAGCTACCAAAAAAAAAAGGTTATAATTAGTTTACAATTATTCCCTGAGGATTGAATTTAGGGCCTTGTGCATGCTAGACAAGTACTCTACCACCGAGCTCCCTCCCTAGCCTAGATTTACTCTATAGAAAAATTAAATATGTAGCACCACCAGGTGCACAGTCTCACACTGCATCAATTGGTGGAGCTGAATGATAATACACAGTCACTTAAACAGGACATGTTAGTATACGTGCTGCTGAAGTGAGCACTAGAGCACATCTTTAGTCTATCATGTCTCGCCATTCCCTACTCTGCCTTACTTATTCAAACCATTCCTTACTTCTGAAACAATTCTCCAACATCTGAATGCCTTACAGTTTTAAAGTATTTCTCCTTGTGAGGAAAAATTTTAGCCTTGACATTCCATTAGGAGGATAAATACATGAGCACAACCTTCAGGTAAGCAAAATGTAGTTCAGGAGACTTGAGGTGCCCAAGTAACAGAGTCAGAATCTAGATTTCCTGACACCTGTTATTTGGAGGAACAATTTCTATTAAATAATTTTACTTAAGGGCTCACAGAAATAAACCAAAGAAGTGAGCGTACCTCCTAAAAGATAGGGTACATCCGCTGTTAAGAATCACCTAACCCTCTTTCTTTTAATGAAGTATTTCTGCTGGCCTCTCCTGCCTGCCTCTCCCTCCACACATGTGAAGACTGCCCTACCTACTTCCTTGAACTTGAGTGTGGCTGTATGGTTTGCACAAATAACATGTATACCTTGGGGTGGGGTGGAGGAGTGGTTTCTTTATGCTTACTTCATTCTTAAGGAGGTAACCTTTAAACCACATTACGACACAGTAGGACCTCAAAATGGTGCGATTCATCAGCTTTGGTACTTGAATAACTTAAAAAGAGCAGAGACCCTTGCTAGGCTATTCTGGACATGTAAGAACTAAACCTCTGTGGTTGTAAACCCCTGAGGTTTCAGCAGGTACTATAGTATAACCTAATTTTATCTCAGGGCTATGAGGTCCATTTGCTTGGGCGCTGTTTCTCTTGAGAAATAGTGCTGTATCTAGATCTCTGATCTCATCAACAAAAGCTGGAAGACAAAGCAAACTGTTGATTTTTCTCGCCAGTTTCCTCATCTACAACCACCACCAGATGCTGAAGAAAATGACAGTACTCTTCTTCTAGAACCTTCTACAGATGAGCCTCAGTTATCTTGGCAGTTACACTGGGGGAGGAAAAAGGAGGGAGCCTCGATTTTGTCTTCTCCATCCCAGAGCCTGATCCCAGAACTGTCCTCACCCACTCGGACTCGCGATTAACTTTGTCACAGGGAGACTTTTACCACTCCCAAGGTGTCACAGCAGAAAGGCGCAGCTGGCGCCGCTGCAGCGGCAAGGGACGGCAGCCAGGCTGCCCTCTACCTCACTGGTGCCTGGGCTTGGCTGAGCCCGGAGCAGCCGCATTCTCTAGGGAAAGAAGCCTTCTTAAGTGCGAACAAAAATGAGTGTGAGGCAAACACCCATCCTGGGCACTGTGTCAATCTGGGGTGAGTATTCCAGCTCCGGTCAATTGCTAATTTCTGCCCGGCTGGTGTACTGGGACACCCAGTGTTCCTGGGCTTCCTTCAAGTCCACCCGAACTCTTCATCTTCGTACACTTGCAAAGGCCATAAATGGAGCGGGGGTCGAGTGCAATGTGAGCTTCAGCAACTAGACCGTGGCCCCGGATCAAAGGTCCTGGGGTGCCAGGAAGCTGAGCCTGCGCAGTCCCGCTCCCGCCTTGTTCAGGGCGGCTGCAGCGCGGGCTCGTCACACCGACGGGCTCACTAGAGGCGGGAAAGTCTTAGGTCGGGTCGCCACGTCCCTCCCTCCCTCTGCCTGCCAGACCCACCCGCCTGCCCACCAAGCGTGCTCTGCGACGCCTGGGCCGTGGGGGAGGGGACGAGAAAGGGCCCGCGAATCTGAGTCATCATCTCCAACCCCTTTCTCGCGCGCACTCCAAGTCTCAGGACCTTGGACCTGGGCACTCCTGCGAGGGGGCGCGGCGCCAAACCCGGGTCGCCAGCTCTGCCGAGTGTCAGCCCCTGGTCCACGCCGGCTCCGAAGCTGCTGGCTGGAGCGCAGTGGGGCCACGGGGTGCTGTTCGTTTCAAACTTGCTGAGTTGGTGTCCCCGCGCTGGGCTCTCAGCCCGGCTCCTCCCCCCACGCGGCCAGTGGTCGCGTCCGAGGAGCCTCGACAAGGCCCTGACTTCCAGCTCCCCGCGTCACTCAGCAGATGCACAGCGCCCCCGCCACAGGAGGAAAAGGAAGATTCTTTATTTCCCAGCAGGCCACGGGGTAGCTGGGCATCATGGGACTTGTAGTCACTGCTAGTGTAGCCAGGACCTGGGTAGAAGGGACAGGGATTTAGGGTGGGTGGGTGGGTGGGTGTGTGTGTGTGTGTGTGTGTGTGTGCAGGAACCCAGGCATGGAACGAATGGGATTGTGAATGATGGACAGAAAGACAGCGATGAGGCATCAGCGAAGCTGTGTGAAGAGGCAGTGGGAAAGGAAGATAAGGATGAGAAGGAGGACTCTCGCCTCAGCATATCTTTATGCAGCGCAGAAGGGAAGAGGACTTCATGCATGTTCCAAGGAGTCTGGTTAGCTTCTGAGTTTGGTGGGGTGAGAAGCGGAGCATCTGGACAATGGGCCTATAGGGTAGAAGGACAGTAGCACCTGTCTGCTTCCCGTTGCTGGCCTATTCGTTTGTTCTGTTTCCTGTGCTTGCTACATTGGGATCATTCTCCAAACTCGGAACCTCCTCCACCTCCGAGAGGCCCTGGAAACCAGACAGAGGGGTGAGCCAACTGTAGGGATGAGAAAGGAGACACTCTTAAAAAAGAACGAATTTCCTCCTCCCTCATTTCCTCTCACAGCCTCTTCAGTACATCCTTACACAGCTTCCTACACTCAGGGCACCTGATTCCCTTTCCCCACCCTTCGAGGACAATGTGCAAAGTCAGAAAGCTAGTTTCAATGTAGGTCCTCTTAATCTGTCCCCTGCCCCACTGTCTTCCCTTCAGTGCCAATGACCAAAATAGCTAGTGGAAAAATTAGCTGATAGTTAGCTGCTCCGTGCTCTCTTGCCTGTCCCCCCCCAGTACCTCCTGCAGCTCCTGGTAGTGCAGACTCTGGGTCTTGAAGCATCCTGGCTTTCTCCGGCTCAGCAACAATAGGGCATATGCTGAGACTAGCACTCCTCCTGTGATGAAGGCCTCAGCGCTGAGCTCGAGCACCAGCACGCCTGCATGCTACAGGGACACAGAACAGGATGCCGCATGGACCCAGCACCTGCTCCCCCTTGCGCTTCCTCTTCTTATCTCTTCTTGCTTCCTCCTCTTCCCCCATTCTCTTTCATTTGCCAGTACCTGAGAGCGGGCAGTAGAGGCAGGCCCCAGGACTGTCTTCATCACCTCCACCACCAGTGCAATGAAACCCAAGATCAGGTTGAAGATGTTGAGTATCATCATGGCCCGAACCTGTCAGTGAGCCAGGTCAGCCCTGTCCAGCTGATGAGGCTCATTCCAACCCACAAACTGTACTTGTAGCCCAGCTGTAAACAAAATTAGCTCTCTTCTTCCACATCCCAATAAGGCTATTAACCCTTTAACGTCTTGCTCTTCTTAGTATTTTAGGGTAGTCAGGATCAGACAGCTGAGAAGATTAGTGGTAGTTAGAGTCACTTATTTGCTAGACTGAGATTGTGTCAGTCTGTCTGTCTGTGTGTCTGTTGGGGGACGGTGGGAGGACAGTACTATATTCTCGTCCCCTCTCACCTTCCATAGGCGAGGTGCTCTTCGAAGCTCAAGGGTGACAATTCCTGTGAGGAGACCCTGAATGGTAAGAAGAGCAAGTGTCAAGCTCTAGTTCCACTAGGAAGGCGCCCCCCACCCCCAGGGACTTTCCTTCCACCCTCCCTTGTGGCAGGTCTTACTGAGGCACCAGGTACAAGTGGTAGCACTGTGGCCATGTGACAAGCAGAGTTCACGCAGGCGACTGAGACAGCAAAGGGCACCACAGCTACTGCCAGCCACAGCTGACTCACCTGGAGGCCAGGGCAAGGTAACTGGGGAGAACCATCAAGGACTCTCTTTCCTTCTTAGAGCCCTTGCCTCTCATAGAGATCGGGGATTGGGATGAATGCATGATAGGAACGAAGACAGTCAACCGAAGGCAGTGGAGGAAGAGATATTTAAAAATTAAACACTGTTTAAATTTGTTCTGCCTCATGTTGTAGTTTACTTACCTGTTATGTTTTCCTCACATAACAGAAGCTACTTGGAGATTGAGGGTCTTGCCTTGCTTATTTCTGTATTTCCTCCCTCTTCCCCCTGCTTGGAACCTAATGGTTTCCAGCACATGATAGGTGCTCCCTGAATAGGGATGGAACCGAACTGGGTGCATGCTGAGACCTGGAGTAGGGCAGCCTGGTCTCACCGCCAGCACCAAGAGATGTCCACTTTGCCTGTGTCTTGCCCAGTGCTGTAGCTTTTCCAGACGAAGACTAGGCCTCTCCTGTTCTTGCTGAGCAGCTGTGTCCTCCATGGGGACTCTCTTGACCACAAAGCCTGGAAAAATTCATTACAAGGTTTTTCAGGAGGCAGGCATTAAGAAGAGACACAAGGTTTCTTTTATTTATCCCCTGCCCACTTCCAGTATGCAGGAAGTTGAGGCCCAGGGCCTTATACCTACCTAGTCTGAAGCAGCTCCTCCAAAGGGATGAAACCTTGCTGTGTTCTGGGACTCCTTAGGGGATAGAAAATTAAGAGCAGACAGCAAACTAGTCCTGGCAGAGGAATGCTGTCAGGGATGGGGTGTGGTGGGGCAAAGGTTCCAGTGAGGGCCTAAGGATACAGGAAGAGGCTGGCATTCACCAGCTTCAGTTCACACAGACCCCAGCACTGCCTCACTCTGTTCCCATTTCCTGTTGCCCCATTTTTCCTCATCCTGGGCTCTTGTGGGTTCACTTACCTCACCCCTATGGACACTATCACACTGGATTTGTTTCCCCTTATTTTCATCTAATCCTTTTCTTTTTGACTTCCTTGTCAAATTACCTGTTCTGCCCTAATGCAATCCTATATTACTGCCTAGATTTCTCATTACTATTTGCCACTTTGTTCCCAGACCAGGTAAGCTTTAATGCCCTGGCTTTCTGGAAACTTACTCTCTAGACACTTTCTCCTCTTTTCTTCTTTTCTTGATGATTTACACTGAAGTGAAAGCTGGTTAAGTGGATGGGGAGCCCTGTAAGCACTGGAGATTGTTTATGACTCAGTGATAACTTGCACTTAGACATGTACAGAATATGGTCCCCAAATGGTGTCTTGGGAAGGATGCTATTACAACACTATTTCTGAGCGAATAGGTGCTTTATGGCCTAGGCGAGAATCTCAGCTCTGCCATTTTCCTAGTTGTGTGGTCTTGGATACATTATTTTAACTATCTGAACCTCGGTTTGTTCACTAATAAAAGGCAGGTAACAATGTGCTATGGATGGGTTGTTAATAACCATTAATGGTGCCGATGAGGTCATTCTGATGTGCCTGACTCTGATATACTAAAAGGCTTATTCCCAAGTTGAGCTGGGGACATGATTTCTCCAGTAAGAAGCAAAACCAGCTGGACCTGTATATATACTCTGTAGAACAAAGGAAAGGCCATCTGCAGAGTCTAATGTCTAGAGACAACAAACCTATGCTCAAGTCCCGGATCTATATGGATGACCTTGAGCAAGTTACTTAATCTGTTTCCTTATCTATAAAGAGAAGTTAATACTAATCTCAAGAGGTTGCGTTGAGTATTAAACGAGAAAACACATATGAACCAGCTGAGCCCAACACCCAGCACTTAAGTGCTCAGTAAACGTTAGTGGCTATTATTATTTAGCTACTGTGGATAGGCGAAACTCACCCAGAAGACCCCTGGGAGTGTCAGAACACAGGCTCTCGGAAAGCAAGTGGTTTATTCTTATACTTTTACCCCACTCAGCATTGGGCAGGTGTTACTGAAACATTCCATCCACTCTCCTTTCCTGGATCATGGGAATAATATTTTAAAGGGATCTACAAAATTGTTGGGTGCCTACTCCCCCCTCCTCGATCCCTCTGTGGATTAATTTAATGGCACTGTGATTTGTTGGGCCCCTATTGAGATTCCTGAACTTGCAGGCCAGTGGGGTGACTCTTTGAAGCCTCATTTTTCTTACATGTAAATACGAATTATATTAGAAGGTTATTGTAAGGAGTACGGGATATTAAATGTGAACAGGTATTCCAGTAAATGGTTATTAAATCCGAATATACTATTACAAGCTTGCGACCACCGTCCAGACTACCATCTCCTCCTCGAGGGAAAGTGTCCCCCTCCCCCGTGCGTGCAGCTCCCGCGGTGCTAAGCACAGTGCCTGGTCCTCGGTAAGGACTCAGTAAATATTTGTTGTATTGAAAAGCCGTTAAAGTATCTTAAAGAATGGAAACCAGAATTCGAGAAGGAGCCAGAATTGTTTATCAAGAACAGAAAGGACCGAAGAGTAACTTTAATAATGTTTCTTATACGGCAGACATTAACTATCTCTATAATCGCCCCTCCTCCTCCCCAAAAAGAGAGACAGAAATTGTAAGGGAGAGGCTTTGAGATAAAACCCCAGGAAGAACTTCCCGAGTCTGTGCGTGTCGGGGCAGAAGCGGCGGCCGCGCCAACCCCTTCCCTGGTATGTCCGGGTCTCGGCGGGAGGGGCGGTCCTGCTCGGAGGCTGGGGGAAGGACGAGATGACCTTTCCAAATCTCTTCCAGTCTCGGGTTTGAATCGTCTGGGCGCCCCACCCCCGCTCCCTCCCGCCCTCCCTCCGACAGCGCCCCCAGTCTCCAAACTGCGCGCACCCCGCCCCTGGCGGCCGCCTCGCGCGGCTCCCGGGGTCCCCAGCTCCCTGTCCCCAGAGCCGGAGCCGCGCTCCCGCGCGCTCGCAACCCCGCCGCGCCGCCCCCCGCATGCTAATGGCCGGGCCGCCTCCCGCCGCACACAATGCGGGCCAGGGCCGGGGGCGGGGGGACCGGGGAGGGGGCGGGGGCCGGGCCGGGGGCGGGGGGGCCGGGGCCCGGCGCATCTCCCCCGGCCCCACGTAACGCTGACGCCCGCGCCGCCGGCCCGCCGCCCGCCGCCGCCGCCGCCGCCGCCCGCTCCGCCGCCGCCCGCCCGGAGCTCGTGAGTAGCCGCTCCCCCCGCTCCCGGCACCCCCCCGTCCGCCGCCCGCCCCCGCCCTCGCCCCCTCCCCCCCCAAGGGGGGGCCGCTCCGCGCGCCCGGCTCGGAGCAGGTGCAGGGGGCGGGGGCGGGGGCGGGGGAGGGGCGCCGGCTCGGCCCCGAGCAAACTTCGCCCAGAGCTCCTGGGGGGGTGGGGTGGGGGTGGCGGCCTCTGAAGCCTGGAGAGCTAGGGGGGCCCCGAGGGAGGGGGGCCAGGTGGGGGAGCCGGGGGAGCGGACACCAAAGGGGAAGGGCCTGCGGGGGTGGGTTGGGGCGAGGGGGGGTAGCGAGCGTCTTTGTAGGGGCCCGAATGCAGGGCGCGAGGGCCTGGGGGTGCGGGGCGCTGGAGCCGCGAGCCTGGGAGGACGAGCGCCCCCCGGCCCAGGTAGGGCCGGTGGGGTAGGGGGAGGGAACCCGAACTCTCTGGGAGTGGGGAGGGGAAAGGAGGGGAGAGGATGGGGGGTGCTTCCCTCTCTGCGTCCCAAACAAAGTGTCACAAAGAGCTCGGCCCGCGGCAGCAGCGGAGGCGGCTGTAACTCAGCTTTTGTTCTCCTGGCCGGGGTAGCAGAGTCCTGGCCTCCCTATCTCACAACCCTGCCCCCCATCGTCCTTCTGGTTTATCTTCCCTGGGAGGGGTCTGGGGTGCTGCTGAAAGGACCTCTCATGAGGGATCACAGGTCTTACCCTACTTACCAACTGATTTCTGGGAGGGGGATTTTCCCAGAAGCTCGATTGCCCACCCCCTATCTTGCCCCCCCCACCCCCTGTCTGAAGATCGATGCTTACGTCAGCATTAGAACTGACTTTTCTCAGGTCAGCTCCAGTTAAGGGAAATTAAGCTTCATGTCCCCCTTCTTCAAATCTAGGTCCTCCAGAACTTTCAGAATCAGGGTCAAGTTAGGACATGCCTCGGGTAAGAGTCATCATAGTAGGGTGGCAGCAGGTGTAGCTTCTTGTCATCTCCTGCTGTACATTTGGAATCCATGACTGAGCGTTCATGCCCCCGACTCACTGTAGTGAGGACAGAGGGAAGGAGGCTTTTTGTCAAGAATTCAGTGTAGGGTGGGTTTGGAGGAGCTGATGAGCAAGGTTTAGAGGGCATAGAGAGACCATAGAAGTGAGCTGTTGACTGTGAGTAGAGTGGTCTTGACTCTAGATCACCTGAGAAACTCCTTTCCTGTTTAATCCTTTCTAGCACAGTGGTCATCATAATTGTTAGCAGATTTGGAACGTGTAGGATTCACAGTGGGGAAAACATCAGGTGTTACAGATGAGCAGAGACCAAGGCCTAGTTACCGCAAGTAGACCTCAGAGATCCTGAACCCTTGCCTCTTACATTTTGATTTTAGAAACTTTTAAACCACAAGGCTGAACCCACACAATCTTGTTGGTTCTTCATTTACCAGATGCTTCTGCGTACCTGTCCTTGTTTATAATTTTCACCAAATGTCCATCTTTTTTCATTGAGGGTTGATGGTTCATACCCTCGTGCCTACCGGTGTTCCTAGCCTGTAAGAGTAGTTGCACTGTTGCTTTGGAAATATTCTGATTCCTATCTTTGGCCCTATAACTGTGTAGAATCCAAATAAGGGCAAGATAACCCCTGATTCCCAGTGGGGATGGAAAGTAGGTCAGTGCTACTGTCTGGCCAAGTCTCGTGGATGGTGTTTAAGACCCGAGTGCAGAGAACTCAGTGATTATTGTCCACTGGCAGTACATGTGTGACTTAGGTTCCAAGCCAGTTCATAGAACCCCAGACCTTGGCAGAGCTCTCCCCACCTGAGATCGGGTGCCCGGGAATCTGACTTGGTGTGGAGAAACTGAGGCAGTCTTCACTGGGCCTGTGAGGGATTTTCAGTGGATTTTGTTGATTTTAGGCTGCCTTCTGGGGAGATTTTCCTGCTGGGAATTCTGCTGCAGTTTGGGTCTTCTGTATCACTTTGAATCCTGGAGTCTGCTGCGAGTAAAGTGGGTTTTTGTTGGTGGGGTGTGTGTGTGTGTGTGTGCTGGGGAGAAGCTTTGCTCTGTTCTTGCTCTTTTGATTTGGAAATGAGGCCAGCTTCCCCGTGAGGTGTTTTGCTTGCTGTCCTGCAGGCAGTTTTAGGGGCCCTAGAATTTTCTGGGAATCAGAATATGTGCCCATAGGTTAGTCAGCTATGACCATGCAGTATTCCCAGCCTCCCTCCTCCCCCCTTCCCGGCCATCTGCTTCCTCTGAATATACCAGATTGGCTGTACACCAGGATGTTCCGGGAATCCCCAGGAGAGCAGCAGAATGTGATGAACCCAAATACGATGCCTCAGTAACTCATTCCAGGATGTACAAACTGTAACTGTCAGGACACTCCTTATAGCTAATTAAAAATTTCCTACTTTCAGCTATTTTCTATTACCTCTATTTTCAGTGACATCCAAAAGGCCAAAAGAATCCCTATGGCACCACTTCCCCCCCCCCCTCCTGGTTTTTTTTTTGTTGTTGTTGTTGTTGTTGTCGTTACCATTTAAAAAAAAAAAAACTAGCTTTTCTCAGTGCTTTATTTGTGATGCTAAAGTGGCAAACGTGACCCCTCTAGCACTTCATAGCTCTATCTATGGTACTGAGGTGGCCAAAGAGGCTTTTCTGGTAGCCCACTGCTCTCTCCATGGTACTGAACAAATGACCATATGTTTTAACATACATCTCTGGGGTCTGGAAGAGTCTTGGACTTAGAACTATGACACTTCTAAGCTGGAAAGGACCAACAGTATAAATTAGTGTAACCCCCTTATTTTACAGATGAGTATCCTGAGAGGTTAAGGGATTGAAGTTGCGGGGGCTGTTAATGGGTAGACTGGGCTTACTACTTTCATTCACCTTTCATGAAACCTGGCTAGCTCTTGGCTCCAGGAAGGGAGTTTATTTGGAGGCCAGAGGATGAAAGGATCCTTGAATTTGGAGCTGCAGAAATATACATATCTTAGTGGAGGCAGTATAGTGACCCTTACACAAGGACATTTAATTAATGGTTAAAAATACTCCCAAAGCCCAGATTCTTAATGTAACAGATACTCTTCCCCTCATGGAATCTAACTACATTGCTAAATGTTCAAAATTAGGCAGCTTTGAACCCCCAGAGCCTTTTCTTTGCTAAGAGGGCAGACCCCTTGCCCAGTTCTCTTCTAGTAGAGATCTGTAATCAAAGTAATGCTTGAGTCCTTTTCTTTCTTAGTAACTCATTTGGTTTCATAATGCCTGTTGTGGGTAGTTCTTTATATTTCAGATATCTTACACAGGCCAAGGTGTGCACTTGGAGTGGGGGATAGGCCTACATTCGTGCAGCCCTTGTACAGTTTGAGGGAAGGAAGGTACATTGGATGGCTTCTGTCACTCTCCCAGGCCTGTTTCCATTCATTTTAATTTTGGGGTTGCTTCTTAGTCCAGAAGCTGACCTCTGCTGCTGCTTAGAATTGGGACCCCCGCCCCCTATCTTCTTCCTCTCAGTGTTCTTCCCTAGCTCTGGAGCTCTGCACATCTCAGGCCTAGGGAATTTTAGCTGGAGCATTTAACCCCTTCCTGCTCAAAGTATGTACTGAGCCCTATCTGTGCAGATGGCCCAGCCCCGCCCCCCGTCCCTCACTCCAGCCTCTTGAGCTCAGAGCCAGTGTAATCCTCCTCTTGTGTGAGGAAGCCTCTCCCCTGCAGAGAGGAGGAAAGCCTGCTTCGGAACAGCTCTGGACAAAGGGGCTGAGATGCCCCATCAAACTGCAGGCTCTGAGGTTTGAAATGGGAAAAATCCTAGAGAGTATTTGCAGTTTTTAACCCTTTGCTCAGGCTGGCAGTGCCCCTTAACTTCCACTCCTCCCCCAACTCTCTTCCTTCCCTCTTTGGCTGTCTCCCCCTCCATACCCCTCCCCCTCTGTCTGTCTCCAGACTCTCTGCTGCTGGGAGGTGTTTCTCTCCCATGCATGAATGAGTCTCTGTAATGAATGGAAATGAATGGATCAGGAATCCAGGCGGAGAGGGAGGGAGAGTGAGGGGGAAAGACCAAAAGGGTAAGGACAGAAACAAGGACAGTGGAACCTGGAAAGATGTTTGGCTGGTTGGTCAGTTAAGGGTCTGAGAGTGACCGGTCTCACCTGGGCAACCGGGGAGCATGGCAGCAAGCTCTCCTCAGTTGCTTATCAAGGTGCACAGCTCCACCCACATGGAAGAGGGGTACACTGTGATACCGTACCCCCACTCTGGTGGTGGTAGTGTTCTGGACCATGCATTTAAAATGTATAAGGGGGAAGAAATCTTGATCATCAGGATAGGTTTTGGAGTTGGCAAATCAAAGGGTGCTGTTTTTAAGGACAGAAACTCCCTTCAAATAGGAAGAAGAGAAGTTTCAGGAATACAGGGTGCTAAGAGTATGGAACTTAGGGTGACTCTTACCCCTGATGCAAATCAGGGCTCATCTCTCTTCCAACTCCCTCTCTTGCTTTTAGCTCCTCAGCACCTGTTGCCTTCACTAGCAGCTTTTCCTCCTCGTCCCTCGTCCCTGCACTCCCTAGAACCAAAGAATGTGAAGGGGTCCATGGAGGTGAGTGGATCTCTGCCCTGAACCCCGGAATACCTATCGAGCACTTAACCCAGCCTTCCCTTCCCTGCCTTCCTGTTTTTCCTGTCTATTGTGAATTGTCTCCTTGGCCCCAACACTCATTGCCCTCCCATTCCTTGGCTTCTGAGGTGAGTAGTGCCAGCTGTCCTGGGTCGGCCCCAGCCTTCCTTCCCTGGAGTTCTAGCCTTTGCTGCCTTTGCTGACTCCACAGAGCAGCCTTCTCCAGCCTTTGCTCCATGCTCACCTTTTTTCCACAGGGCTCACGTCCCCGTGTCCCCTGCGGCCACTTAGCGCCGTCACCCCCTGCCTTCGACGGCGAACTGGATTTGCAGCGCTACTCCAACGGGCCCGGCCTGAGCGCGGGGTCTCCCGGGATGGGAGCGGTGGGCTGGTCTGAGAGCCGCGCAGGCGATCGGCGCTTCCCTTGCCCTGTGTGCGGGAAGCGCTTCCGCTTCAACTCCATCCTGGCCTTGCACCTGCGAGCGCACCCTGGTGCCCAGGCCTTCCAGTGCCCACACTGCGGCCACCGCGCGGCGCAGCGGGCTCTGCTGCGCTCACACCTGAGAACGCACCAGCCTGAGCGTCCCCGGAGCCCCGCGGCGCGCCTGTTGCTGGAGTTGGAGGAGCGCGCCCTACTGCGCGAGGCCCGACTGGGGCGCTCTCGAAGTTCGGGCGGCGGCATGCAGGGCGCCCCCGCCGCTGAAGGCCTCGCCCGGCCTCAGGTCCCTTCGTCGTCTGCCTTCCGTTGCCCTTTCTGCAAAGGCAAGTTTCGTACCTCCGCGGAGCGTGAACGCCACCTGCACATCCTGCACAGGCCCTGGAAGTGCGGCCTGTGCAGTTTTGGCTCCAGCCAGGAAGAGGAGCTGCTGCACCACAGCCTGACGGTACACGGGGCTGCTGAGCGCCCTCTGGCGGCTGCCTCCGCGGTGCCCCAGCCTCAGCCTCCCCCACAACCTGAACCCAGATCAGTTCCTGGGCCGGAACCGGAGCCGCCTGAACGTGAGGCTACCCCTGCCCCGGCTCCTGCAGTTCCAGAGGAGCCCCCTGCGCCTCCGGAGTTCCGTTGCCAAGTGTGTGGCCAGAGCTTTACACAGTCCTGGTTTCTCAAGGGCCACATGCGCAAGCACAAGGCATCCTTCGATCACGCGTGTCCTGTGTGTGGTCGCTGCTTCAAGGAGCCCTGGTTCCTTAAGAACCACATGAAGGTGCACGCCAGCAAGCTGGGCCCTCTGCGTACCCCGGGGCCTGGCTCAGCGCCTGCGCGGGCCCCCCAGCCTCCTGATCTGGGCCTGCTGGCCTATGAGCCACTGGGTCCTGCACTCCTCTTGGGCCCGACGTCCACTGCAGCTGAGCGCCGTGAGCCCCCCAGCCTCTTGGGCTACCTGAGCCTCCGAGCTGGCGAAGCCAGGCCCAATGGTGAGGGTGCTGAGCCTGGGGCTGGCCGTGGCTTCGGGGGATTCCGTCCACTGTCGTCCAGTCTCCCAGCCCGGGCTCGCCGACACCGCACAGAGGAGCCAGAGGAAGAGGAGGAGGCAGCTGCAGTGGAGGCTGAGGAGGAGAGCTGGACCCGGGGCAGGTCACTGGGCCCTCTGGCTCCCCTGCACCCGCGCCCCAGTGAGGGCACAGGGCACTCCACACCTGCTGTTGCTGCCCAGGCAAGATCGACAGCCACGCAGGGTATGTAGGGACTCTCCTTTCTAGACTTTCCTGAGTCTCATTATCTTTGTCTTTGCTGCCACCACCTCTGGCTTCCTTTAAAAAGACCCACTTGGATCAGAGATACAGCTCAGTGGCACAGCACCTTCCTGGCAAGTGCGAGATCCAGAGTTTAAAATTCCTGGTACCAAAAAAATTAAACAAAAATTGAATACTCCCTGCTCCCCAGGGAGCATCTTCTGAGGCAACTCACTCTTAATTTACAAGAAATTCAGCCACTCAGGTGCCTGCAAACCAGAGCTCCCAGGGTGGCAGTCAGGCTGTGAGGTGGACATGGGGTATGTGGCCTGGACAGGGCAAGGGGATCCCTGTAACTTTCTCTCAAACTGTGTATTGCAGAAGAAAATGGTCTGTTGGTTGGAGGGACCCGACCTGAAGGGAGCCGGGGTGCCACTGGCAAGGATTGTCCTTTCTGTGGAAAATCTTTCCGCTCAGCGCATCACCTCAAAGTACACCTTCGAGTGCACACAGGTGAGGGAGGTGGCTTCTGCGGGGGTGGGGCTGGAGGGAGGCCCAGCAACCTTCAGAATGGTTTGATGAGATGAGCTGGGAAATAGTCTATTAAGCAGAGCCAGTGGGAGAGAGAGCATCTTGTTCCTGATGTGAGGATGGTCTGTAAACTCAGTCAGATGCGAGGGGCTGTGTGTGAAAATGGTAACTCTGTGTTATCTCACTTCTCCCCAGGTGAGCGCCCCTACAAGTGTCCACATTGCGACTACGCAGGCACCCAGTCCGGCTCACTTAAGTATCACCTGCAGCGTCACCACCGTGAGCAGAGGAGCAGTGCAGGCCCAGGGCCGCCCCCTGAGCCGCCACCCCCTTCCCAGCGGGGTTCAGCCCCGCTGTCTGGAGCTAAGCCAGCTCAGCAGCCTTCTACCTGGGTGGAGGGGACCGCAAGCCCACGAGCCACCGGCAGTACTGCTCCAGGCTCCCGTCGGAAGCCCGCCAGCCCTGGGAGGACCCTGCGCAATGGGCGAGGTGGTGAGGCTGAACCCCTGGACCTGTCCCTGCGGGCAGGCCCGGGAGGTGAGGCTGGGCCAGGGGGTGCCCTCCACCGCTGCCTTTTCTGTCCTTTTGCCACTGGAGCCCCTGAGCTCATGGCTTTGCACCTGCAAGTGCACCACAGCCGCCGGGCCCGGGGTCGCCGGCAGCCCCAGGCTGATGCATCTCCCCCCTATACCCGAGTACCATCAGGAGAGACCCCTCCCAGTCCTGCTCTGGAAGGCGAGGAGGGCCCTGGGCTAAGATCCGGAGAGGCAGGCCTGGGGGGTCAGGAGCGGTAGGGAACCCTCTTAGGGGTGATTAGCTTAGTGAGCTTTCCCTGCAGGAGCAGGGAAGCGCTAGAGGTAGTTGGGTAGAGCAGCCAGCAGGGGCAGCGTGGGACCCACATCCCAGCCCCAGGCCGACCAGAGGTGGAGGGGCAGCAGGCGAAGGAGGGTGGGCAGGCGGTACCCACCCAGCCCATGGGAGTCACAGTGCCTTAGAAGTGGCAGAGGTGAGGGTCAAAGAACGGGGTCCCAGGGCTGGCAGAGAGGGTTGTGTCCCTGTTGAGGAACCACTCTGCCAGTTTTTGCTGGTCCATAGGCCTGAGAGTTTATTTTTGTACAAGGGGGTGGGGGTGGGGGGCACTGTACCCTTCTAGCCCCATCAGGGGCCCTGTAGACGTTGCTATTTTTGGTACGATTCCTGTCATCCCTGTCACAGAGTCGTGTCCCCAATAAACAGGTGTCTTGAGGCACAGGGCCCTGTGTCTGTCTGCCTGTGTCTTACTCCCTTCCTTGGTCTCTTTTACCCAGGAAACTGTCACCTGGCCACGTACCTAGTTACCACTCAAAAGAGCCTGGTAAGAAACACAGAATCCTGGGTCCCAGGATTGGGTACTCTGGTATACTTGGTACTCTGGCTAGAGCCTAAACACAGGTAACAAGTAGCTTAGGGAGTTTTCATGCACCGTGGCCTGAGCACCCCATTGGAGAACTGCTGGGCCCCAGATTGTGTATGACCAGCTCAGCCTCTGGAAGTGGGTGCAGTGCGGGAAGAAAAGCTCCAGAGTTCATCAAGGCCCTAGGAGCCACTGCAGAGGAACACATTCGCCTGGTTCACGCATAGTCAGCTTTGGACCAGTAAGGGGAGAGAGTATCGCTTAGCCTTGGTTTTATTTCCTGTGCTCTGCTTAATGGTTGGTTGAGGGGAGAAGTGCTCAAGTCAGAACACCCTAATCCAGAGGACAGCTTTGGCTCCTGGCAGGCAAAGTGTGAGTATATTTAATATAATAATAGTAATATAATAACAGTAATTACATATATAAAGTCTGCAGTTCCTGCTCCCCTCTGGTATTATAGTTTGTATAGCTTCACTTTATGTGACACCACAAGATGGGAGTCACCAAGGAGCTTCCTTGGCCTGGCAGAAATGTGTCTTCTCTGAGAGTTGGGATGAGAAGAGCAAACAGGCGGATGGCGCAGTGGTGTCCTGGGGTGTGCAGTAGCCCAGGATGGGGAAGGACTAGAAGAGGGGAAATTCCCACCTCGGGTACCAAGGCAAGGAGGTGTGGCCGTGCTGGGTCCTGATGCAGAAGGCACCAAGCAGAGGAGAGCTAGAGACAGCAGTAGCAGGGCATGCCGTGGTCCTCGACCCTCTGTCCTGTCCAGAATGCAGAGGAGTTCAGTGCTCTGCTCTTCCGTGCTCTGCTAGTCCTACATGCCACTGCCACTCCAGCCTAGAATGTGCCGCATCTGCTCTGGAAGCCAGGGGGGAAGGGGGAGGTGCAGTGAGAGAGGGAAGCTGCCGAGGTGAGCAGGGACAGTACTTGCAGGAGGGAGGCCCGTGGGACATGGTAGGAAGGGACGCTGACTCACCTGGGTCACAGCGGTGTGGTGGGGTCACTCAGGGCTCGGGCGTGACTCTGAGGGCAGAAAAACCACAGTGAGTTCCCTGTCTCATCCCTAAGCCTGCTTCTGCTAACGGTTCTTTGTCACTTCTGAGCTTGACACTTCTTTGCTAGGACTAAGGGAGAGGAGAAAGGCACACTGAATGAGAAATCCAACCTGCAGCCTTAGCTGGGAACACGACCACAGGCTTCCTCTGCCCTTTGATGGGCTGAATGATGAGGAAAAACCCACCCAGAAAGTGACCGGAGAGGTCACTCGTCATAGCCTTACTGCAGGGACTTACCTGCCAGGACAGCCCTAAGATCCCTCCACTGGCCAGGGTGGGAGTGCTGCTCCCAGGGTGGGGGGGCGGCACGCTGGGGCTGTTTCTTGGTCCTGGGGATACATCTCCAGAAGAGTCAAGTGTTTCTGGGGCTAGGGGGGAAGACTGGGTGAGAGCAGGGTATAAAATTGCTCCAGATTACCTTAAGCAACCAAGCAGCTCCATCAGGGAAGAAAAAGCTCCATAGCAACAGGAAGCTGTGAGTCACCATAGCAATCCAGTTGCAAGAGAACCCCCCTACCAAGAGGCAGGAAATTGTCAGCAGCACCATTAGAGCAACCAGGGAAGAAGCGACAGGAAACTAAGGATTGCCGTGGTGAACCAGGAGGGTACAACAGGATGCTGAGGCAGTTTCCATAGAAACTCAAGGAGTGCTAGAGAGAGAGAGGTACAGAGGAAGTACTTCTTAGCAACAAGCTGCTGTAAGCATCACCCTAGCAACCAGATGAAAGGCTCTTTTAGCACTGGGGAAGCTGTACATAGTTGTCATGACAACTGGGCTATTTGGCTAGAAAAAGGAATTGCTTAGCGGCAGGCAGCCTAAACATCACACGATGACCCAGCTGTTGGGGGCCACCCCTTGAGAGGTGCCTCACCCAGGGAAATTTGCTTGACGTCCAGATCCCAGGCCTCCTCCTCGACGCGGGCAGGCAGGGAGCAGGCTCCCGGTGAGAGGCCGGGAAGGGACGGGCCGGCATGCTCAAAGGATGACACGGCCACGGAGGCCCGGGTGCGGGCAGCTGCAGAAAGTGGGGGGTGGGGGTGGGCGTGGGGTGCTGGTGTGGGAAAGCCCGCTTGGCTCCCTGGAACAACTCAGTCTCATAGAGGGCCTCTCGGTTAGTACCACAGATGGTGGAAGAGATACCCATTTGTTACCCTTCCTGACTCCCACCAGGCCTCCCCATTGCTTGTGCTGTTAGTAACGGTATAACTCTGGGGGTCCCCCAGCACCCTGGCCCTCACCTCTCCCAGTAAGCAGGGCACTCAGTGTCCGTTCCCCCAGGGCTTTGATGTCCAGGAAGGGTTTATTCCCAATGCCCATGGACACCATCTGCTGCACTCGAAGCTCTAGGGAACAGACACCCCATTAGCAACCTCCTCCTGAGGCTCCTCAGCCCCACCCTGGCCCATGGTGGCTGACTCAGTTTCCCTGCTCCCCCTTACTCCTCTCCCTCATTCCCCTGGTATCTAGTTGCTCTTGCCCTTGACTATCGGGGCATGCCTTTGACTTTCTCCTCAGGGTCATGTTGAATTCTGCCCGTTTGGCGCCCTAGCCACCTGACTTTTCTTCTAACGCTCAGCTTCTCTTTACCTTGGGCCTTAGGAAAAAAACTCACTGTTTTACATATTGTTATGGTTTACAAAGTGCGTCCATGTATTCTCCCTCAGTTAATTTAAAAAACAAAATATCCAAACCAAAAATGAAACCAACTAATCAACAAACTACTTCAGATCACACAGCGAGTAAGTGGTACCTCTTCTTAATCACAAATCCAGGGTGCAGTTTCTTTCGGTAGCCCAGCCATTTGCTCCCCTGAAATTTGTTAGCTCTTTCTTTTTGGTACACCTTAGACTAATTTACTTCTTTATTTCTTTATCCCCCCCCCTTTTTTTAAGGTAGCATCTTGTTACACAGTTCAGGGTTCAGGCTGGTTTTGAACTCATTATATAGCCCAGGGTGGTTTCAAACTCATGGCAGTCCTGCCCCTGCCTGTGGGGTGCAGAGATTACAGGCATGCACCACCACACCCAGTAACCTTAGACTGATCTCAAACTCAGCCATCTCCCTGGAGCCACACTGTACCCTACACTGTACTTCACCCTTCACCCTACACTGTACTCCCAAGCAATCTCTGTATTCTGCAGAAAGCCACCGGCCACACTGTCTCTGCTATTCCTAGTACCCTTGTTGTGGGCTGCCTGTCTCCACAGCAGCTGGGCAATGGAGCTTGTCCACTTGAGTTTGATCTCTGGTGAGGTTGCCTGCAAGGTGTAGGCCTCTCGTGCACGCCGCCGGCGGAACCACAGTTCAAAGCAGAGCCCGCTGTCTCCGATGTTTTCTGTCAGCCCCATGTCAGCAGTCTGAGGAAAGATGGAGAGCATGGGTGGACATGCGAGAGTCCTGGACACCTGGTGCCACTCGAGCAAGCACTGCGCTTAGCCTGGCATCTGGTGGATGTTCGGGAAACAGCACCAAGTATTCTACACGTGGTCTTTACAACCACCCTAATTTATCGGAGAAATGAAGCCCAGTGACGTGAAGCAACTTGCCCAAGCTCTTGTCACAGTTTATAAGAGTGTGGATTTGAACCTATGTCTATGTCATTTCAAACCAGGGCCTCTTTCTCTATACTATATTCCCCTCTGGAAGGCCAAACTAGTATAGGGGGACAGAGTGTAGGAAGCTCTGGAATCCCTCCATGTGTTCTGATCAGGATCATAGATTGCTATGAACACTTATGTGGCTAGTTTCCCAAAGCCAGGCTTCCCTCTTTTGGGCCTTGTTTGGTTAAATGAAGTTATATAGAGTGTCCTTGCTCCTAACTCAAAAGCCATGGATGGATGTCTTAATAGATCCTTTCCCATTCTGGTTTAAGATGCCTCATAAGTCTCCCACATGAACTATAAGGAAGATGCCATGGGGTAACCCAGTGACAGGGACTTCTATCACCCTTTGACACCTTAACTTGATGACTGATTGCAGGCCCAAGAGTTGTCTAGGTGATGTGGATTCTGAATCTGGGTTTGGGTTGAGCTTATGAGGGTGTTCTGAGCACTCAAGAAGAGCTCCAGCCCTCCCACTTCAGTTCTGGGCAGCATACCTTAAATGCCTGTTTGTAAACAAAGGTCTCAGAGCCCCCCTCAGAGCCCTTGAGCTTGCTGAAAAGGAGGAGGTGCTCAAAGAGAAAGACATGGCGAAGGCACTTCTTCCGGCCACAGATGACAGTGAAGGGGTCCCGATGCAAGAGCTGTCCCTGCTCCTTCAGATCTATCTGAGGAAAGAAAAAGAAAATGCTCTTGGCCAAGGGCCCTTTGTGTGCATTTAGTGAGGAGTAAACATAAATTTGTAGTGCAGTGAGACCCATGCAGTGCTTCTCAAGCGGCGAGGAAATCAGGGACAGCCTCAGCCTACAATGCGTGCCTTGGTCCTCAGGCCCAGCACACCCAACCCAGCAGCATAGCTCCACTCTGAAAATGGGAATGTGCATTGCTTGGCAGGGCTTTCAGCATTTTCTGGGGGAGCCTTAGTGTGTAGGGGACCCAGGAAGAGAACCAGCAAAGAGCTGTGGTAGGGATATCCTACAGGAGGTAAGATTCTAGCCTGTCTGGAATCTCAGGGCTGGAAAATGACGAGGTAGAGCACAGGCATGTGTTGGGTACTGGGACGTGGAGAGAAGTATCATGTAGATAGGGAAGTAAGCCTTAGGAGAGGAACAGGAGAGCATAAAGTAGGATGTCGACCAGGACACAGTTTCTGTATTTACATATGAGGAAACTGAGGGCCAGTTAAGTGCAATGAGTCGGCTATGGTCACCCAGCAGGTTAGAAACCAGATGGCCCTCAGGGCTTGAGTCTGGTTCACTTGCTGCCAGGCCACAGGGCTAGGCTGTTGGCCGGAGGGACTGGAACTAAGGCTCACCTCGCAGCCTCGCACGGCCTCCACAGCCAGCAGGTCTCTGCCGCGGGCCTCTTGTTCCTGGAGCAGCTGCACAGCAGCTCCGAGGGCCTGGCGCTCAGAACTCGGCTCAGGCCCAGCTTCCCTCAGAAGGTCCTCCAGGAGCCGCCCATACCGAGTCAGTTGTTCCAGGGGCTGCTGCAGGGCCAGGGGCAGGTAAGGGCCACCCTCTGTGGAGCCCTAGGGTGGGAAGACAGACAGGGATGAGGGCAAGGGATGCATTGTAGGCTGAGGCTGTCCCTGATTTCCTGGCCGCTTGAGAAACACTGCATGGTCTGTGGCAGCCAAGCTCTGGGGGCGAGTAGTCAGGAGGCAGATCCATGCTTTTGGGGTAAAGCCCAAATACTCCCAAAGGTCAGGCAAAACACTCCCCTCCAGAAAGAAGCCAGGCAGAGGGCTGCAGGAGATGCAGTCATTCTGTGTCTTGAAGACAGTTGGAAGCACCCAGGTAATGACCCTTTCTGTTCCTCGGCTCTTAGCTTTTGAAGTCACTTTCACATCTTTTTTCCTTTTTATTGGTACCAGGGATCAAACTCACGACTGCCTGCTTGCAAGACAGGCGCTTATGCCGCTGAGCTAAATCCCCAGCCTCAACTTTCACATCTTTTGATGTGAGGTCTTTTGATGCTCAGAGCTCTCAGCGAGTACCTATTACTCTCCTTCATCAGATGGAGAAACAGAGGCCCAGAGGAATCAAGCATTTGGCCTTTAAACCCTCATGTTGGGGACATGGGTAAGGACCCAGCCTCAGTCCAGGGTTTGTCCTACCCTGAGCAATTCTGCGGCCTGACTGGTAGCAGACATGCCTGGGCACAGCTGGGAAGGCTTTTATTCCCTGAGGGGTTTTGAGGTGGGTTTCACAGAGGTCTTTCTCACGAGACTGGAATGAAATTTACCTTGGATGGGGGGTTGAGTGCAGCCAGACAGTTCTCCAGTTTGTGGCGGTGCTTCACATACTGGGCGTAAAGGCCGAACTGGTCCCCCTGCACCAGCAAGCATGAGGTGAGGTGTCCTTCGGGAGGGCCTGGCAGGTGAAACCCCCTCTCCCCCCAACCCTTCACTGCAGCGCCCAGCCCAGGCTGGTCAGGGAGCGCCCAGCCTGCTAGGAAGTGAGGGGTCCAGGCAGTACTCGTAAACAGAGACACAATCTGCGTAGAACCAGATGGGCCCAGAAAACAGCTGTGCTTCATAGCCCTGGACCACACAAGGGACCAAGGGCAGTGATACTGAGAAGGGCCAGGGGATGAGCTACAGCACGGGAGAAAGAGGACTGGAAGACATGATAGACTTCACAGTGTCACTCACATGGCGAAGGAAGCAGGCCCCGATGCGCAGAGGGTATGTAGCACAGCCCTGTAGCTCCCGAAGAAAATGTGTCCGGTGGAAGCTGCGAAGTCTTTCCCGGGTGCTCAGGACAGCAGCCCAGGTGCCCCGAAGTTCAGGGGTCAGTTCAGGCCCGGGGGGTGGTACAGGCTCGCTCAGGCTGGTCACATACTCCTGTTCACAGGCAATCAGTTCAGACACCAGACGCTGCTGGGTACTGGGGGTGCAGAGTGGCAGAGGAAGTGTCACCCAGGCACATAAAAGAGCCACAGCTCCCAACATGTCATGCTTTTTCTTGCTGGTCAGTTGGGTCTGCCTCTTGGGCACCACAAAGGCCAGGCTCTCACCTGATACTCCGCTTGCGCTCCATCCGGGGGGTGCCTAATCCCCAGGGTCCGTCTGGCCCCCCAGCCCGGCCCAGCAGCACGTGTTCCCTCGGCGAGCACGTCCTGTCTACCACCTCAGTGCTGGTGACCTCCAGACCCCGGATCAGCACAGACCTTGGGGGTTTGCCCTCTGTTTCTGGAGCCAGCTCGGGTGCCTCCTCCTCACAGTCCTCCCCACATGGGGCCAGGGAGCAATGGGATGGAGCAGCCCGTAGGCCAGGGCTGCCAGGAAGGAGTAGGGAACTGAGGCTGGGCGAGGGGCTATGGGAGCCCCGCTGGGTCCCTGCGCTGCTGGCACTGTCTGCCCGCTGCCGCCGGTGGCCTCTCGGACTGGCTTCCTCTCCCAGCTGTTGCTGAATCCTCCTCTCCAGCTCTTGGCAGCGGGCGTGGCAGCGGCCCCACTCTCGCAGGGCTGCCGGGCTGCCCAGGTCCAGGGCCAGGGCCCGCATCTCCTGGAAGGTGCCAGCACTGGGCTCCGGGGCCCGCCGCAGGGCAAGCGCTGCCAGCAGGGCCTCACGACCAGGCCCAGCTCCTGCCAGCCGGGCAGAGCCCTCATCCACCCACTCATGTGCCTGTAGAGCCAAAGGGTTGGAGACGGGAGAGCAAGGGTGAGGACTCATGCCACCCCCAGAAGCTCAGGCCAGCTCTGATAAGAGTCACCTTCACTGTCTAGCCATGTCACCTGGAGATGCTACTGAGACAGAAGCGCCTAAGGAATAGCTGATGCTTAGTGTAGAAGGCATCGTGCTGAACAAGTTTCTACATCACCTCCTATGGTCCTCACAGAATTCCTATGCGGTGGATGTCAACAGGGCATATTCAGGTCTAGTACCTGGTCTCAGGTCATTTGGCAAGGAGGTGAGAGAGCTAAGTGACAAAGCCGAGGTGTGGGCTCCCAAATCCCTGCCTGTACCTGACTACATTCTCTTGGCCAAAGAAACAGCACAGAAGGAAGAGGTTCTGTCTGCACCTGCTGGAAGAAGCGCTGAAGCCGCAGGGCCCGATGGAGGCCACTCTCCACCTGCTCCAGCCGCTGCTCGAAGATATCCAAAACCTTCTGGGAGGCAGGGTCCTCCTGCAGAGCCAGAGCCTCCCGCGCCTGGGCCAGGTGCTCCTGGGGAAGGGAGGCAGTGCTCAGACCCAGGCTGCACGCCCAGTTAGTCTCCTCTGCCTCCTGGGTGTCTCTCTTCTCCCTTCTCACCTGAACCTCCGTGTGGAAAGCCCGAAATCGCAGCTCTGTCTCCTGCAGAGCAGGGAGGGAGTCACCGGGCATAGCAAAACTGGCCAGCTGCTCCTCTCCTGGGCCCGAGAGCCACTGCAGCACCTGCGGCACACAGGTGGAAGAGGCGGCCGTGAAGGAAAGGCTGAGACCCAGTGCCAGCTCCCACCCTGCTCTACAGATACTTGAGTGACAAATTTCATCTCCTCTGTCACATGCAATTGATACTTGTGGATGATCACAAGTTTCCACAAAGATCAAGTGAAAATCTGGGTGAAAAGACTAGTAAAGTGCTGGATGAAGTTGTGCTGTCAGTAAGCACGGAGGGAGCAAGGTGAGAGGTCCTGACACAGGCCCGAGAGGTGGGAACCAGAAGCAGGATGACAGGCCTTTTGTTTGTTTGTTTGAGACAGGGTCTCGCTCTGTGGTTTAGGCTGGTCTTGAGCTCACTATGTAGCCGAGGTTGGCTCTGGACTCATGGTGATCCTCCTGCCTTGGGCTCCCGTGTGCTGGGATGACAGGTATGGACCACCACACCACACCTGCCTGGACGAGGGTCATTTGGATAACTGAAGGCCAGGAGCAATTTCATCCCGGACCCCAGTGACTGGTGGGCAGACACTGCAGGCACCAGGCCCAGAGAGGCAGCCCAGAAGATGGTCGTGTGCATGTGAATGTTTGGGTCCAGCTCTGGTTGCCCATTGTGTAGGTACAGAAACTCTGAGGCTGGTTCAGAGGTGTCTGATCGAGAAGAGATGATAACATTTCCTCTGACAGAGGCTAGAAGTTGGGTTGGAACAGCCTGCAGATGAGAAGTCTGAGGATGTTCCCAACAGCCGATGCTAACAATAACTATCGTTTAAGTATCCTTTTTGAATTAATTTGGTCATCCTAACCACCTGTGTAGTAGTTATTAACATCTCCATTCTACAGATGAGGATGTGGGAACTCAGAGAAGCTTCATGACTTGCCCACACCCAGCAAGAGAAGCCAGTCTTATTTCTGAATGTTCCTTACAAATGCAGCAGTCCTCTTAAAGCTCACAATGCCTTCTCCTTTGAAAGTGAAGAGAGGTGGGATCACCCCATCCTTAGGTTTAGGGGATGATACTGCATAAAAAGTTGAGGCAACCTGCCTGACTAAAGAGCTGGTATCAACAGATATTCAATATTGTCATTTTTTAAATATGAAGGTAGATATGCCAGTCAGTCAGCTCTTTCCAGAATCCCCAGGGGCCCCAAGCATTTCTGATCATCACTAAGGGTGCCTGACCAAACATCAACAGAGGGAAGATCTGGCTTGTTTTTCCTGGTACTAAGATTCTCCCACTTTCTTGTTTTTGTTTCGTTGGTTTGGTTTGGTTTTTTGAGATAGGGTCTCATTTTGTAGTTCAAGCTGGTCTTGAACTCACTATGACCCAAAACTTACAGTGATCCACCTGCCTCAAGTCTCCCAAGTGCTAAAGCCACCTTCTTGTTAAATCTCCCACCTGGCATGCCCATCCTCCAGGGGAGGCGAATAGAGAGGGAGGGGTGTCCAGGCAGGAACTATCACTGCTAAGCACCAGGAGGGAGACTGGAGGCCAGGGCCCCAGGCGGAGCAGGATGGGTGGGGCCACCGCTCACCTGCTGGAGGTGGCGCAGGCGCTGTCGGTGCTCCTGCCGCTGTACTTGCAGGTTGGAGAGGCGCACGAGCTGGTGAATGGCCTCGTCCACCTCTTGATAGAGGGTAGCAGGGCCCGGGCCCTCCAACCTGGGGAAGAAGGAAGAGGCACCCCTCAATTTGTCCTTGCACCTCCAGGGATGCAAATATGCGAGGTGGTATAGCACTGTGGATAGGAATATGGGCAGTCTCAGATTGCTTGTCCTAACTCTCCCATTTCCTGAATTAGCGTGGCCAAGACTCTTAACATTTCTGATCCTCCAAATCCGCAGGGTAATTTTAACTAGCACTGACGGACGATGTGAAGGCTAAGAGACAGTAAGTGCAAAAAGCACAGTATCTTGCGCAGACCTGCATGCGCAGTAAGAATTATCTGGCGGGGCTGGGGATTTAGCTCAGTGGCATAAGCGCCTGCCTTGCAAGCAGGCAGTCGTGAGTTCGATCCCTGGTACCGATAAAAACGAAAAAGACCAAAAAAAAAAAAAAAAAAAAAGAATTATCTGGCAGCCCTCCGCTGACTACCACTTCCTCCTGCTCTGCACACTCATCTCTCATACTTGCTGCTGTGGGTGGAGCGTAGCCTCATCAGGATGGCTCCCCCATCCCTCTGCAGTGCCGTCAGCCGGTGATCAGCCAGCACCTTCTGCAGAGGCTCCGGCATTCCCACGGCCTCCTAGGGACAAGCAGCAATTGACAGTAGAGGTTCCACCGCAGAACGCTCACCCGGGTCCCATCCCCTGCCATCCCCCACTGCCCCATCTCATTTCATACCTCTCCTTCTGACTCTGCTGCTCTTTCCAGCTCTTCAATGGCCTGCCGCACAGAGCTCAGCACACCCTGGCATAGGCTGCAGAGCCTTGCCACTTCCTGAAACACACATGCAGGGATGGAGCTCAAGGTCAGAGTTTAGATGGAGGGAGCCCAGAGATTTTTTGGGGGCGTGTGGTGCTCAGCATTGAACCTAGTATATGCTAAGTAAAAGCTTTTCCATCAAGTTATGCACCTAATTCCTTTTATATTTTATTTTGACATAGGGTCTTATTAAGGGGCCCAGTCTGGCCCAGAACTTGTGATCCTCCTGGCTGAGTAGCTGGCATAGTATGCCACCATGCCACACAACCCAGAGACTTTTATGGAGGTAATACTGGGTTTAGTTTCTGATTTTGTTGGTTATTAATTACATGCTATTGGGCAGGTCCAGAAACCCTAAATCTCAGTTTTCCCTTCTATGAAGTTGGGATAAGACAGGATTTTGTGGGTTTTAAAGAGATGATACTTGCCCAGCAACTAGCATGGGGCTGAAACATTGTACAGCTTATTAAATGTGTGTCTCCTTTTTCTTCTGTCTCACACTGGGTCTTTGCCCTGGCAGACCTTCCTTTCTGCCTCTTCAGATCTGCTTGCCTTTCGGCACACAGCTTATAGAACATGCTACAGCTCAGATCACATTTATTCTCTTCTTGATGACTCACAGGACTTAGATTCATGGAACTTGGGAGACAAGGGTTGGAAGAACCTTCACAGAGTGTAGCGAAGTTGCTGTACTTTGCAGACGAGGATCCTCAGGCCTGGATACTGGTGCAGAGAGCAGAGAAGAAAGAGCACCATACCCAAAAGGGTAGTAACTTGTCCAAGGCCACAAGAAACAAACCCAATCTTTTGACTCTTGGTACTTTCTAATAAACCCAGTGACACTATCTTGTATTCTTCTAGTTCTTTCATGAATTAATTTTCCACTGAAGTTCATATATTAATATCATATGAAGAATTTAGCATACTCCATCTGTTTCCCCATGACATAATGCACAGTATCCTGGTCATGGCCTGTGAATCATAAATACTTGCTGAGTTGAATGAAAGGGAAACTCTTTTTCCCCCAAACCTATGGATTTTTCTTGTCTCCTAGAATGTCCTCAGTTGGGACACCTAGGGCCTCGCTGGCTGCAAAGGTAGATGGTGGGGAGGATGCTTACCTTATGTATCTCTACCCAGTAGCTGGGAGATGGGTCCCTGTGACCTCCTAGGTCCCACTGCAGCTCCTCTGGCTTGGCCACTCTTTTCAGATCATTCTCTGACACCCACTCAGCACCCTATCAACATATAAAGCCAGGGAATTTCTGCCTGAGCACCCAGGGAGTAAGACACCAGCCCAGGGGCCCAGCCAACCCCTTCTGCTGCTCTCAACTACTGATGGGTGACTAGGTGACAGAGTGAGGGGTTCAAACCTGAAATCCACAGAGTTCAGTGGGAGGGTCATCATTAGTGAGAATCAGCAACCGTTGAATAAGATGAGGATCTCCTGAATCCTGAAGGCAGAGAATAACAACCCTAAACTGTGGGTCACTGGGAGGCTTGAAATGGCCACTAGGGAAGAGCTGGACCTAGGGGAAGTGCTTGTCTGAGAAAGGCAGTTACCTGAAGTTGACTCAGAGCAGGAACGAGAGCTGGCGGCAGTGGGGGTGCTTTACGAAGATCCAGCAGGACAGACAGTCCTAACAACTGGAGGTCAGGCCTGTGAGGTGGGAAGGACAGAAGACTGCAGTATGTGCGTGCGTGCGCACACATGTGTGTGTGTGTGTGTGTGTGTTGGAGAGACTGCTGACAGGGCAGAGTAGAGGCACAAGTCTGACATAGTGTTCATAGTTCCTGCTACATTAGAGAAGCAATGTGCAAAGAGCCCAAGTCTGGGATGTGTGTCCAAGAGTGGTGGCCTAGCATTCAGGAGCTAAGGTTCACATGACTGTGGGGTCATGGCATAAAAGCCTGGAAAGTTAACAGTTCCATATTTTGGAAAGGTCTGTATCCTGGAGTCTCACAGGTACTTTGTGAATCAATGTCCTGACAGTCTAAGAAGTGTCCCAGAACACTGAGGTCAGCAGCATTGATTGTGAAGATCAGTGCTGATATTAGCCTGGAAATCAGGGGTCAGTAAGGTCAGAGGTCATGGACTGGTCATGGACTTCAGAGGCTGAAGAAGTAAGTGTCCTAGAGGTCAGAAAGTCGGTGTCCTGAGAACAAGGAGGTCAGCTCCTCATGACTCAGGGCATGAAGTCTAGGACTCCAAGGCCCATTGTGGTTACCTGAGAAGTGAGTGGAGGTAATGAAGAACAGTGCTCAGCATGTCTTGGGAGGGTGGGGGCTCCTCAGGAGGACACGGTGGGGTAATGGTCAGCAGAGCTCGCCCACTCTGGTCCAACCCTCCTGAAGACACAAAATGGCCAGGCTGTCCTGGCTGGGAGCAGTCCTCGGCTACCTCCCTCCCAAGCCCACTTCAACTTCTCTTTCCCCAAGCCCCTCTCCCTTCACCAACTGACCAGTCAGGACAAGGAATCCAGAGGCCATCAACTCCCAGGCTATGTCAGAGTCAGCAGAGATGGAGACTGGAGGGGGCTCTTCTGGGATGCTCTCTACTTTCACTTCCTGCAGTGGCTCCAGGGGTTGTGTGGGGGGGTCCGACAGCAGCCCCTCTGAGCCTGCAGATGCTGCATAGACAGGGGAGAGCTGTGGACCTCAGAAGGCGGGGCTGCCCGCTCTCTCTTTGCCTATCCCCAGCTCCTGCTCCTTTCCTAGGCCACCTTCCCCGGGGTTCTCTTACCTGCCACACACACCAGGCTCGATCCTTTTTGCTGTCTTTCTCTGGTCCCCTCTTCTGGAGAACCATAGTTTTCTGGGGGCAGAGTCTCTTTTTCATCTGGGGATGTGAGCTCCTCTTTGGCCTCTGATTCTGAGTTTTCAGAGCCTTTGTTCCCATCCTTAACCAGGCTGCATGCTGGAAGCTTGTTTTCATTTGGTGAGGGCAGACTGACAAGGGCTCCATGGTGGCCAGTCTCTTCCTTGTCCCCAAGGCTGAGTGGGGCACTGTCCCCGCCTCTGCTAAGAGCCCCTCTGCCTGCAGCCCGCTTCTTTCTCCGGTTTCCTTTGCCTGTTCTCCGAGGGGTACCCGGTGGTCCTTCAGCCCCCTGGCCTGCTCCAGGATCCCCTGACCGCAGGAGGCAGGATTCAGAAGCTTCCCCCGAAGCCTCTGTTGGGGGTTCAGATACCTCCGCGTCTACTGCCTCTGGGACAGCTTCAGCTCCTAGGGGAGACCCAGGGGAGGCTCCAGTGCTGCTCCCCTCACCGGGTGGCCGTGATCCATCCTGGTGCTGTGCCCGAACCCCCAGGCCCTTCTGGTGCATCCATGCCCGGTGTCTCCGGTGCCGGCCTTTCCCTCCAGCACTCTTGCGGGTAGGTACCGTCCGAGTCCTGGCAAGGTCTGAAGAGCCCTCAGCATCTGTGGGACTTCCCCTGACAGGCAGCGTCACTTCCAAAAGCTCCACGTACTCACCCTCTGGTCCTTCAGCTGGAGCATTGTGCCCATCCCCAGGACTCCGAGTGCCCAGCACCTCCTCAGAGAGGGGAGGGCTGGGAAGCCCTGGGGGTACTGATGGCAGTTCAGGAGGCAGTGTGCCTGGCCGATGTCCAACCATGAGGCCTCCTTTGTGCACAAATCGTGGGCAGATGAGTTCAGCCCAGGGCAGCCGCTGAATCCCAGAGGGTGCAGATAGGAGGCAGGTGCTGAGGCGACCTGTAGGTCGGTCCTTGTTGATGCCTTGCAGCCACTCAGGTGTGAACAGGTAGGCACATGCCTCGCTGGGCACGGGCAGCTCCTGTACCCGCCCACCTCCTGGGGCTAGACACTTGAGTGCCAGGTGGGGTGCTTGGGCTGCTGAGGGTACCACCTGCAGGTAGAAGTCTCCAGGACGCAGCAGCTGCCAGGGAAGGGCTGCTAGCTGTACCACAACCTGCTCATGCAGGCAGAGGGGCCAGCCCTCATGGAAGAAGAGGAATCCGCTGTACTGGGCCTGGGGAAAGAGGAGGAGGCTGCACTCAGCAGGAGAGAGTGGTGAGAATGGGCCTAACCTAGGCAGGACTGGCCTTATGCTTGGTGAGTTATACTTCCAGAGGAGCAGGAAGGAAGATCATACAGCAGAAAGGAAGGCACTGGGACTTGTCAGTCTGGTGCTGGTAGGAAGCTAGTGTAGGAGGGCAAGAACTTAATCATTATAATGATATGGTCAGCAGATGCTACTGTCTCAGAGGAATCAAAGACTTGGGTTTTCATGGCTGTAGAGGTAAAGGATCTCCATTGAGTCATATCTGGGGGAGTTAGTATCTTGAGAAATTCATATGAGTGAGAGATGTCTGGAATTGGGTCTGCCTGCAGGATCAGGGTCATGCACATGTATGTGTTAGTATATGAGTGGTCCACACCTCTGAGGGTCAAAGCGTATGGCAGATCAGCAAAATGAGGCTGAAGTTCCTCTTGGGAGATCAGTATTAAAGCGGGGTGCATCTCAGGTGGGAGGAAACAAGCCTAGCTAGTTCAGAGCAAGGCAGTGGGTCTCAGGAAGGCAGAAGAGGGATGCAGAGCCACTCACACAGGCTTCCTGCTGGACCTTGGCAAGAAGGTGCTTGGCTGGTACCAGGAAGTCCAGTGTGTATCTCAGTGCATCTTCCCGGTAAGTCCTCTCCACCACTTGGAATACCTGGCCCAACAGGGTGGGAGCTGTGGCTTCGAAGGGTGGGTATAAGGCAGCGAGTGTGCTCTGTACACAGTCCTCCACCGGCTCAGGCTCCTGGGAGAGATGAGACCCAGCTAGAGATACCTGGAGATACCCAAGCAGGGTTCCCTGGGACCGTACCGGTCTGTGAGCAGCTGTGTCCTCATCGTACAATGTATGCACAGAGTGAGCACACAGGAAATGCTGGCTAAAGGAACCCAAGATGGGGTTGGGGCTGCACAGTCAGTCAGAGTCAGACACAGGCTTAGCAGCGCTGCACACTCTTGTGAGACCTTTGGAGACATAAGAACACACACTGGGAGAATGTACTGCAAATGCACATTCAGATGGGGGCTGTTCCTCCTGGGCTGTTCCGTGTGCTTGTGAATCACAGTGATTGCACAGGCCCTCAGGATTTAAAAGACAGGCTCTAGTGCCATCAGGCGAGTGAGCTGATGGTCACCAGCTCTAAAGGGCAGAGTAGGAGGCTTCCACACAGCCATCCTGCAAATTGTTTCTCACCAGTCTCACTGTCCAGAGATTCCTACCCTAAGTGGTGGTGCCACCCACAATCAATTGCATCTCTGAGAGGATCCGTGGGTAGGAAACTGCAGCAGCCTCAGGTCTTTATAGCACCCTTCTCCTTTAGAGTGGCTCTAAAGCAATCACCCCTTCCCAGAACATGGGGGATTGGGTTACAATGAACTGGGTGGGGGCATTCTAGTAGGAATAAGGCACAAAAGGAACATGTAGGAAGGGAGGAGGAGGCCTTGATGATGGTATGCATTCCAGCTGAAATCCCTTCTAATTCCACCGGGACCTCTCACCAACCTAGACCTGAAGCCACCAGCTCAAAAGACAGCCTGGCTTCATGCATACCTGCCTCCCTCTGAATCGATGGGACATCCTTCTCTCTCCCATACTCTGAATAACAGCCCCCTGGGCAGCTCCTTTGCAAGCTTATTTCTCCTTTCAAGATGGCCTTTGAAGTTCCTTTCATCAGATTTTTTTTTGCTTTAAATGGGAAAGGGGGTGCTCAGTGCAGTATTTACCTAGCTCTCTGCCCCCCCCCCCAAGTCCTGCCTTTACTGGGAAGACAACATTACATATTTTACTGAGTCTCTCCAGCTAAAGTAGCTTGCTTGTCTCGGTTTCTGAGCAGCTAGGGCAGCCACTCCAGAGAGGGACATTCAGCGCGGCAGTGCACATCCCCAGCCCCAAGGTGTGTGGGCGAGCAGACAGACCCCCCAGTGTTCCTGGCTGGCAGGCGCTGTGCTCGTGGGTGGAGGGAAGGTCGGGATGGGCAGGGGTAGGGCAGGGTGGGCCTTCGGCTGCAAGGCCGGGAGGGGATAGCGGCGCTGGAGCGGCGAGGCAGCTGCAACCCATTAGGGGCGGTGAGCTCATGGCTGAGAGTCTCAGCCACAGGAAACGGCAGCGGCAGGAGGGGAGGAGGGGTCTGGGCGGGAGGCGGCGGGAGTCCAGAGACCAGGCCTTTCGCCGGCCAGGACCAGAAAGACAAGAGAGACTGAGTCAGCTCTCCCTGGCCCAGTTCCTCTTTCTTCTCGCTCCAGCTTACCGGGGGTGTCCTTTCCTCCGTAGAGGAGCGGCCCGGTGGGTGCTCCAGTCCCTCCTCCATCCCTGCAGCGGGCGCCCCCTGCCAGGGCCTCTCCCCCTCCACTACTTTGCAGCTAGCGCCTCGGTGGCCGCACCCCTCCCCTTGCAGCGGGCGCTCTCCTAGACAGTGCCTATTCTTGCAGTGGTTCTTCAGGAGCACTTCTGGACCAAAGGTCCCGAAATAGCGTTCACTCCTGGGATGTGGGTTCCAGTGCCCCAGCTGTTGCTCCCAGGGTCCCCTGCCTCGTGCACGGAGCTCCATCTCGTCGTGCTCCCTCTCCGCCGCGGGAGTGCTCAGGAGGTGCCTGTTCCCCGCAGTGCGAGCCCGGGCGCTTTCCCTGTAATCTGTGGTCCGCTGTGGAGCGTCACGCCCCCCTAGGACTGTGACACCCCTCTTCCAGCCACTACCCTACAGCAGCCCCTCTTTCTCCTCGGCAGTTTCCCTCTTTGGTTGTGCCCCTGGCCCTTGGCCCAGCCACAGCTGCGGCTGGTCCCCTAGGGCCGGATGGGTGGGCCCGCCACACCGGGTCGGGGACGGGGATGGAAAATGGTGGTTCCAGGCAGGTCAGTTCTCATGACCCGAGGCAGTGCCCTTCCAGGGCCGCCGGGGACCGACGCGAAGAGTAAGGAGCCGGGGTCGGGCGGGGGAGGGCAGACCTGCAAGGAAAGGACAGGTCCGGACGAAGAGAGCGGGAGGAGCGCCGCGGGCCGGGGAAGGCGCGGGGGGCGAGAAGAAAAGGCGAGCGAGGGCGCTCGGGCCGCGGGGGGCAGGGCTCGGGCGCGGGGCGAGGAGGGGGATGGGCGCGGGGAGTCCCGGGAGCGCCGCGCGAGGCTGGGCCGGGCCCCCAGCGGGCTGCCGAGGGCCGAGGGGACCCGGGCTGCGACGCGGACTCACCATGGCTCGGCGCCGGGCTGCGTCGCACGCTCGGGCGGGCGGGCGGGCGGGGCCGGCGCGCCGCCGCCTCCCTCCCTCCCTCGCTCCCTCCCGCCGCTCGCGTCTCGCCGGGTCTGGCCGGGGGACAGCTCCGGCCGCGGTGGCGGCTCGGGCTCGGGCTCCAGGCCGCGGGGCCCCGCCAGGGAGGGTCCAGACGGCCGCCCCTCCCCGCCCCGCCCCGCCCTCCGCGCCCGCCCCGCCGCCACGCGGCCCCGCGCCGGCCCAGACTGCCGCGCCCCGCCGAGCCTCTCCGCGGCCCCCCGGGTCCCAGCCAACCCGCCCAGCCGAGGACGCCCCTCCTTTCCCGCCGTCGCCTCGCTCCCGCGGCTCAGTGTGGCCCCCGCGCGGGGTTCTGCAAAGTGGACCCTCCGCCTGCGGTCTCTCACGCACGCAAGGACTCTTCGCCCCGCCGGCCTCCAGACTTTGGAAAGACCTGAGGCGCCCTTGTCTCCCTGGGGAAGAGTGGCAGGTGGCAACATGAGGGCATTCCCCTAACTGCCCACGGTCCTGGCCACCCTTCTCCTCCTCCTCCTCCCAGCTTCTCGGCCTCGACACTCCAGGCTACCAAAAATGGGCTTCTATGCAAGGCGAGTGGGAGCGGTGAAAGTGGGACTGGGGTAATACTGTGCCTGAGAGTCAGGGTCCCGGGACCAGGGCCTGTGCATCCGCGAACTTTTTCTGACTCTTTGCCTCACTCGGCCCTCTCTGCATCGTTCCCTGTCGCCCCTTGTTCCTAGAGGAAGCAGAGCTCCAGCTCCCGGGCTCAGACCTTACGGTCTGATGTGGGATGCCAGATGGGCCTTCTTGTGAATGGTGATAATGTCCCAGGGCTGATAGGACTTGTAGCCCCGGGACCACGCAGTAGACAAAGAGGGTTAGACTAGATAAGAAAGAAGAAAATTGTAGCCCCATCTCCCGTCTCACCACCAAATCGCTAGCATCCTCCACTCCTTTCAGAGGGAAGTGAAACTTGCAGCAGAGCTGGTGGAGACCTAGGCAGAGGAAGTAGGGCTTTATCTCACCTCTGTACTGGCAAGAGAATGCTTGGCCTCATGGTGGACCCTCCCAAAAGGTGGGCCTTCCAGAGGACATGAGAAAGCCAAATAAACCCCAAGAGGGACTTAAAGTAGGTGTCACTACAGTTGGGGGATGCTGCTTTAGAAAGTGTCCTGCTTGGATGCAGTTTCTAAATGACTGGGAGGCCAGATTTTCTGGACAATGGGAATAAGAGGAAAGGGGGGGGGGTCGTCGCCAACATTGTGGGCTCTACTCTGAACACTGCCCCCTCCTCCTACCTCCACTCACTGGGTCTAGAAAAGAAGAGAAACATGCATCCTTGTTGGAGATGAGCACTGTTCTTCAGAACTTCAGAAAAGGGTGTGGGCAGCAAACCCCATGAGTATTCTCCAGCATGGCAGTGCTGTGATGCTCTTTCCCACCGCAATTAGGCGATCCTCAGTCACCCAGGCTTTGCAGCCGCCTCATAATTAGCTAAGAAACTGAGATTTTGCTACCCCCTGGTGTCCACTCGGTAAATACTGCCCAGTAGCCAGTGGGAGCCCGCACATAAGGAAGCTTTCCCAGAGGATGTTTTATGAACCTTGTTCATCCTTTGTCTTGAGTCCAGTTCACCCACTCGCTGGGTTCAGAGATGGTAAACGTTCCCTTAATGGGGCTTGCATTCCTTATACTGAAAGCAAGTTCTTTGAGGGGTTACTTTATGGTAGAATCCAGGGTTCCCACAACTAGGTAATGGAATATAGGCTGTGAACTCCAGAAAAAAAGAGTGGATCCTTCCTCCCATGGGAAAAAAAGGAGCCCCTGAGAGTTTCTGAACTGGGGGGGGGGGGAGAAAGAGAGAGAGAGAGAGAGAGAGAGAGAGATTGGATACAAGGTCTGGAATGCAGTTATCCTTTCTTTCAGGAATTTTTAAGCCTATGCTAAATAACAAAGGTTTATTTTAAGTAAATGACACAAGTGCTTACACTGGTTAAATGCTACTTTCTGTAGAGAATGCACCTCTCATCTAAATATTGTGTGTGCGTTTATGCACATGTGCACAAACACAATAAAGTTTGTATTGATGTGTGTGGTTTTGGAAGGGAATCCGAAAGGGTAAGGTTATAATGGAGAAACTGGAAGCTGGGAAGAGAGCTGGCTTAGAGACCCTCTGCCACATCTACAAACACTTCTCATCCTATTTCACCAGTTGCAAATTCTTTGGTGTTTATCAACTCCCAGTTTACAGACTGAATTCTGGCTTACTGAAATTATGTAACTTGCTCTAAATCACACAATACATGGAGAAGCCAAGACTTGAAGCCAGGCAATATGACTCCAGAGCCATCCCTCTCAACTCCTGGGTTACAGGGCTTTGTTGAGGCTGCCAAAATCCATAAAGAGGCTTTGAACAAACATCACTTTTTAAAACACCTAGACATCACATTAGAAAGTGTTCAATTTGGTTTTGTAGTAGTACTAAAAGAATTTCTAAAAGTGATCAGTAGGTCCCTATAGATCCAAGAAGTAAACACATTCCCTGCCCTCCCCCAGACTTGTTCTAGAATAATTGGTAAAATAATGTCTCAGAAGTTTCCAGTATGGTTTTCATGAAGATGTATATCATCCTTATATGGGAGAAGCAAAAGAAACACCTTGTCCGAGTGGTTATTGTGGTGGTTAACGGGCTTCAAGAGATGCCACAGCTACTCGGAGCTTTAGACTGCTCATTGTTTATCCTCCTGGAGACTAGCAGAAACTAGAGCTTCTCTTCTGTCCCAAGCCTCCACTTAAGGAATAATTAATAAAAGACCTAAGGGGAATTTTAGGTATAGTTTTTTCCCCTGTGCCCTACCTAGATACTTAGTTATTTTAGGATAAGCCTACAGAATACACAAGCATATGTTAACTATGTTTTGAATTACTTTTTCATTAATTTGGGTTTTTGATTGTTAATATTCCTTTAAAAGTGTTACAACTTGTCTTCTCTGAACTGTTACCAAAGCCCATACCTCCAATGTCTTGTGTTGCCGGAGTGTTAGTTTCCGTTGTGCTCTACCAACTCCACTCTGACCTCTTGATAAGCCATTTTCTGCACACAGAGCAAAATTTTAAAAATCTGACTCAAGGGCCTGGGAGTGGAGTTCAGAGGTAGAGCACTTCCCTGCTGTGTGCATAAGGCTTTGGATGTGATCCCCAGCACTGCAAAAGAAAAAAAAAAAGTAAATAGAAAAATTCTTTTAAGCCAGGTGTGGTGGTGCACACCTGTGATCCCAGCATTCAGGAAACCTGAGGCAGGAGGACCACAAGTTCAAGTGTTGTTGGGGCCATTTAGTGCAAACCTGTCTCAAAATAAAAAATAACAAGGGCTAGGAGCGTAGTGCAGGGGTATGGCCCTCCTGGGTTTGATCTAAAGTACTTCAAATAAGTAAGTAAGTAAATAAATTTGCCTTTGAAATGTTTTTAAAAGTCCAAGAACAGATTTTATCAACCTCTTCTAAAGGCTTCTAATTTGCATTGTGACTCCTTTTCTGCCTCCCCATCTCCATCTTTTACTACCTCTGATGTGGTAAGCAGCTAGTAAGCCTCTGGATACAGTGACTTTTCAGTTGTCCCCCCTCCCCCGCCCCCTTCAGTGCTGATGATTGAATCTGGGACCTTCACAGTGAGCTACCGCACCAGGCCTTTTATTTTGATACAGGATCTTGCTAAGTCTTTGCTAAGTTGTCAGGCTGAGCCTGTTCACAGATGTCATGGCAGAATACTGCTATGGTGGGAAGAAAGAATTTGACACACAGATAAGTGAGGCACATGGAACTACAGTAGCTACGATCAAAAAAATCTACATTTCATAGTTAAGATTCCAGAAACTCAACACAAGAATAGAATATTAAAATCTGCTAGTGAAAACAAACAAATCAGCTATAAAGGAAAGCTCATCAGAATCACAACTGACTTCTTAACACAAACCTTGAAGTCAAGGACACTTTGGAATGAAGTATTCAAACCCTAAAAGAAAGCAATCTCGAAACCAGATTGATGTACCCTGCAAAACTATCTTTCAAAGATGATGAAATAAGATACTTCTATGACAAAGAACAGCAGAGGAAATTCATGAACACCAAGCCAGCACTCCAAAATGTTCTGAAGGACATTAAAGAAAGAGATAACAAGAACTACAATTCCAACAGAAGGAATCCACCGGGCAAGGCAAGCAAACAGAGAGGGGAAAGGAAGGCAGTCAGCGACAGGAAAATAGCATGACAAGTGTTAATCAAACACATCAGTTATAACCACCAATGTTAGTGGTATCAATTCACCAATCAAAAGACAGACTGGCAGACTGGATTAAGAAAGAAGATCCAGGGGCTGGGGGTTTAGCTCAGCGGCATAAGCACCTGCCTTGCAAGCAGGCAGTCGTGAGTTCGATCCCTGGTACCGATAAAAAGGAAAAAAGACAAAAAGAAGAAAAAGAAAAAAAAAAAAAAAGAAAGAAGATCCAACAATATGCTGCATACAAGAAACATATTGAATTTAAAAAGAAATTCATAGGGCTGGGGATATAGCTCAGTTGCACAGCACCTGCTTGGCAAGCATGAGGTCATGAATTCAATTTCTTGAACAACAACAACAAAAAAATCATAGACTGAGAGTCAAAGAATGGAAAACAATATTCCAAGTGACAGGAACCCAGAAAAAAACGGGTAGGTATTCTAATTGCAAAGTGAATTTCAAGCAAAGACTGGTTAAGAGAGACAAAGAAAGTCACTGCATCCTTGTAAAGGGAACAATCCAAGGGAAGAGATAACAGTCTTTAATACATATGCACCAGATACCAGGGTACCCAACTATATAAAACAAATATTAACAGACAATGAAAAATCAAATAAGCAGTAATACAAATGTATTGGGGGATCTCAATACCCCACTGTCTCAGACAGATTAACTAGACAAAAAAAATCAATGATGAAAAATTAGAACTGGACCAACTTTTAAAAAAATGGACTTAGAATGGTCTATAGAGTGTTCCATGCCACATCAAAATACACACTGTTCTTAGAGGCACATGGGATGTTCTCTAAAATAGACCTTATACTAGCTCATAGTACATGCTTAAGTAAATGCAAAGGAGTTGAAATTATTCCATGCATATTGTCAGACCATAGTGCAATGAAACTGGAAATCAATGGCAAAAGTGTCAAGCTAGATTTGAAGTTGAGGTTTTCCTGCCTCAGCTTCCCAGAGTGCTGGGATTACAGGTATGCACTACCACATCCAGCTGATTTTGCAGTTCAACTTGCCTTCCTTATTCCTAATTTGGCAGCTTTTTATGTTCTTTTTGTTTCTGTCTTCTTTCTACAGTTCACTGAACTAAGTTATCTTAAAGGTCTTCCCTGACCGTGCAATCAAAAGTGGACTCTCACTTATTCTGTCTTGTTTCTTCTCAATATTCCCTCCCCACCTTTTTGGTCTTTTTGAAACAGGATCTCAAACTTGCAAGAGTCCTCCTGCCTCAGTCTTCCCAGTACTGGGATTACAGGACTGTGCCATTACACTCAGCTCTACAATAGTTGTTTCTATCTGACCATGTATTTATTTGCTTATTGCCTGTCTTATTATTATAGACATTGGAGTGAGGCAGAAATATAGTAGGCAGTCAGACGGGGCTGGGACAATGTAGTCAGTGCAGGAGATGACAGTGCATCACAACTGTGGAGGCACATTTGAGCAAGAGTAAAGTCACAATGGCTAAATTTACTTGCATTCCTGAGAGTTAAACAGAGGCTTGACATTATTGGTGGCATCCTTTTGAGGTTTCCCATTTCTCATTAGGGGTGGGTCATTCTTTCCCACCCACTAGGACTAAGATTAAAAGCACTAAGACTGAGACTACTAAAATTGAAAACAAGACTAAGACTAGATTATTGACCACGTGTAGTGTTGTTATCCATATGCCCTTGATACCACAAGATCAACATTACCTTAGTTGAAGACACTTGCAATCTTATTGGTTAATCATAATTGTGATCCATGTTGTTTGCCTCATGATTTTGCTCTATAAAACTTGGAAAAATGTGCTTTTGGCAAACTATTCAGAGCACTTCCTGTCTCTCAGGAAGTATTCCCCTTCTTTCCCCCAATAAATTTTCCTACTTTTAACCTCCATCTGTTGTCCTTACAATTTATTCTTTGACCTTGGGAGCACAAACCGGACCTATCTGACATCTAACATTTCTCCTATATCATTATGATATATCTGGTCCATGCTACATGTAACCTAAAAATGAATGTGTGTGTGTGTGTGTGTGTGTGTGTGTGTGTTTTGGAGATCAATCCCAGGCCCTTGTGCTTGCTAGGCAAGCACTGTATCACTTGAGCTAAATCCCCAACTAAAATTAAACTTTGTAAAGTCAGAAATTTGAACTATGTTGTCAGTGATCTCTTATAGTTAGTGTCTGAAAAGGTTTTGAAGACATCAAAACAGGTGAAGATGGTAAGGAGAGCAAAAAGCCCATCAGACAGAAATGGAGGTGGAAACACACAAGGGATAAAAACAGGCACAAGCGTGGGAGTGGAGACCTGGCACCTCGCTTTCCAGTCTCCCTGGACTCAGCCCTTGCATTCCTCTTTGCCATCGGAGGATGTTTGCAAATGGAAGCTAAACGGGACAGAACTGAAAACAAATGGAGCCTCCTGTGAGTCAGCTGTACGTGCACTGTGCCAGAGAACACACGGCTTGGTGAGGGATTTCTGGAAAGACTCCATATCTACTTATGGAAATGGTTGCTGTTCAGACTCAGAAACTCTTTTAAGTAGCTGTAGCTCATTTGAATTGCAGTTTTATGTTCCATTTTTTTTCGTGTAGAGTGTCCATACACATTTCTACACTTCAGGGTAATTTTTGCAATCATTCACCATTTGGTTAGTTACTTTTGATTTTAAGGAATTTGTATTATATCAAGATTTTCTGTTGTACAAAGAAAACGAACAGACAAAACGCACTCCTCACTTTGAGTTATTCTCACTTAGTATATTTTACAAATTGGAATTACTGAGTAAGAGCCACTTTATAGTTTTTGTTATTGCCAGATGAGGCAATATTTGGAGGGCATGGCTCATGAAAATCTTAGAATATTTAAAAGTTTGTTTGTGAAGAGGACTGGAGTTGTTCCGAGAGGCCACATGTAAGGAGCATCAGTAAATTGTTGCAATTATAAGTGGATCAGGCTCTATGCAAGGGGGCATTTAATATTTAGAGCTGCCTGAAAATGGGACTATCTATTTCTATAAGTAGATCTCTCTTTACTGAAAACTCTTATGCATAGTGAGTTTTAAAAGAAATCATCTACAAGCTTCCCAGATTTGTGAACTGTGTATTTTCCTTGTCCTCTACCTTTGCTCCAAAAATAAGTTCTACATGACTTTTATTAAGATGGAGCATGCATCAGTTTTATCAGCAGCGTCCCTGATCCCTCATTGGCAGATCTCAGAGACTCCCAGGGCAGGCAAAATCTGGGAGTTACCCTCTCCCACCCTCAGTGTTCAGAACAGCCAGGCAGATAGGGCAAGGTTTGCCGTCAGCTCCTGACATCTTTCCTGTGCTCACTGTGTACCTCCAAGTCTCAGCCTATATTGCACCTGCTCATAGACAGGTCTTGCCTGGGTGAGTTCAAACTTTCCCTCTACCTGCCTTAGCCTCTCAAGTGTTAGGATTACAGGCATGTGCCACTGCACACAAGCTTACAAGATGTTATAGAAAGTAGTGCTAAACTGGGTGTGGTGGAGCACTCCTGTAAGCCCAGCACTCTGGAGGTTGAGGCAAGGTTGGGACCAGCCTGGGTTACAGAGTGAGCACAAGACAAGCCTGAACCACAGAGCAAGACCCTGTCTCAAAAAGACAAGAAAAAAAGTAGTGATACCATCAAATGCTCCAAGCCAATCCCAGCACCTAAGTGATTGATTCCAAGTGTTTGTTACAATATCTTGTTATCTTTCCAACAGACATTTGCATTTCAAATGAAGAGTTTGGTTCCTCATTTCTAATCTGTAATTGGTACAATATAGCAGTTCTCATCCCGTTGACATAACTTTACCTCCTCACTATAAACACATGTACACACACACACACACACACACACACACACTCTTACACACATACTTCTAGGCAATTCCCCTGATTTATTGAAGAAACTGTTTCCTAACAATCTGGAGTTGTTTGTTTGTTTATGGCCACTTAGTAAATATTGTAATAGTAAAATATTGTTTCAAAACTCCAAGTTTGGCCAAACAGGGAAAAAAGTCCCTATTGAGAATGGAGATTCAACTATAGTGTCTAAATTTTAATTTTTCTTGGAGTATATTTTGGTGCATTACTCTGTCACTGCCACACTGGTTTCAGGGAAGCTTGTTCTCCTTACTGAGTTCCCAAAGTACAACAACTCTTCCAAATTCCAGAGAATAATGGCCCTAGAGGCTGCACAGAGGAGAAGTAGAGGTCATGGTTGCACCACGGCCTCTGCGTGCCCTTGAGTGTGAGCCTTGGCCCCTGAATCACCAGTTGGCCTCTCTCCCTTCTAAAAGGCCTAGTAAAACCAGCACACATGAGAACACTAAATGCTCAGTCACAAAGCCAACTGTGAAACTGTAAGTGAAAGCATGAAAATGGACTGGTTTTGCTGTTACGATGTGAGTTTTTAAAATGTCCTTTGGTTCCTAGCAAAGAATATCCAGAGGTCTGCTTGCCTTTTAAAATTTATGTTTTCAAGTCAGGTGAGGTGATGCATGCCTGTAATCCCACCACCTGGGAGGCTGAGCAGGAGGATCATTGCAAGTTTGAGACCAGCCTGTGCTACAAAGTCAGTTCAAGGCCAGCCTGAACTGCATAGTGAGACTGTTTCGAAAAGACAAATACACAAATACATACATAAAATCTACATTCCCACCAGAAGTGACAGTACACACTTGTAATCACAGCACTCTGGGGCGGTGGGGTAGGAGGATCCTAAATTTGAACCCAGCCTTAATGATTTAGCTACCTAGCAAAATGTTGTCTCAAAATAAGAAATAAACAAATGTAGTGGGGATGTAGTTTCATGCAAAGACCCTAGGTTCAATCTTCTGTACTGCAAAAAATAAAATAGAATTTATGTTCCCTATGTTAAAACTGCAAATCAGAAGACTAGTTTTCCCTTCAGTTTTTATGTTTATGAAAAACTAAATTTACACAAAAATTCTAATATTCGCTTTAGAGGATTGTATTGATGACTATTTAGAAATAGTTAATGAAACTCTTTAAACATTAGCATATTCATGACGGGGCTGTAATTTGTTGTCTTGCTGGTGGGTGGCTCTGAACCACTAGTGGTCCAAGCATGCCTGTTCTACCTGTCCCATCAATGGAACCGTCATGCATGTATCATCAGTGCCTCAAGTTAGCAGGAACATGTTTAAGAAATTATAAATTTAGTGTATTCTATGTCTCTTAAAGAAATTCAGTCGTTTGAGCTGATGAACAAAACATTCCTGAATATCTAAAACACAAATTTTGGGGGCTGGGGATTTAGCTCAGCGGCATAAGTGCCTGCCTTGCAAACAGGCAGTCGTGAGTTCCATCCCCAGTACCGATAAAAAGGAAAAAGACCAAAAAACAAAAAACAAAACACCCCACGAATCTAACAATTTATAAATAGGGTGATCTAATTTTCATATTTTCTTAACTATTCCAATCCCCATTTCAAATCACACACATTTTAAATTAGAATTACAAGTCTAATTTGTTACTGTAGTGGATTGTTCTCTGTCTCTGTCTCTTTCTTTCTCTTCCAGGAGCTAGAGATTGAAGGGCCTCCCTTATACTAGACAAGTACTCTACCATTGAGCTACAGTCCCAGCCCTAAAATGTTTTTACCATCATAAGTACATAAAGTACCAAACATCGCTATGTATGCTGATGGCTGCCTGGAATCCTATGGGAGGCTAAAGCAAGAGGATTGCAGATTCAAGCCCAACCTGGGCAATTTGGTAAGACTCAAAATAAATAAATAATAGAAAATAGGCTGGGGATGTGTCTCAGAGTGAAGGCCCTGAGTTCAATCCTCAGTACCAGAAAACAGAAACAAAAACAACCAGAGATGTATAAATTTCTTAAAACAAGAATATAATGCTATGCTTCATTCTTTTGAATTTCTCCACCCTTAATTCTAAAATTTCTCAATATTGAAAGCTACTTACCCAGTAGGAAACAAAGATGTCATCCCAAATGGCTGGGGTGCCTTTTTCCAAGGAATGTTCTGGAAATAATGTTCTCAGTGGCCTAGAGGATATATTCAGTAGAGATTCTGTTCCAAGAGTGTTGGGCAGCCCTTCTCAGGCCCCCAAGTTCCCCACTGAGCCCCATTTCATGGGTACTGTGTCATTACTCTCCAAGTGGGCCAATTTTACAGCCAGGGGCTGCTAGATTCAAATTACACTGCACCTAATTCTTCAACCTACGCAAGGAAGTCAGAAACTCCTACTGGAGTTGCTACACCACTTGTTTGGATATAATTAGTCTCGTAAAGGATTCAGTGTATTCTGAATTCTTTCCACAGTTTTCCAGTTTCTCAGGCCGCAGCTCTTACAGGTGTCGATTGGTTGAATGATTTCTGGTGTTTTGAGACTCTGGTGGCAGACCTAACATTAGTCCAGGGACATGCTACAGGAAGCTTATTCCTAAACAGAGGGTGAAGGAAACCCTGAAGAGGTGGGAGGAAAAGGTTATAGAATTCATTTGATTCAGGCTTCTTTTTTTGTTTTTATTATTGGGCAGTGTTTCTCACATGTTATTTATCCTGATCTCCTAAACAAGATAGCGAACCTGGGGTTGCATTGGCCAAGATATGTTTGCCTTACTCTTTCCAAGACAGCCCCTTCAAGTCCATAGCAATGTTGAGCACATGTTAGGGACCCAGTGTCATTTGGTAAAAATACAATACAGGAAAACCCAAGGACTCTTGTGCCCTCTTGAGGCGGTACCTGGGATAGATGGCTGATTATTCAGGAACCAAGTGTCTTGGGTTAGGACTTAAATGACTGAGTGTGATGTGTCCACCAGCCTATCCTAGGAGGGTAAGTGTAGAAGCCAGGTGGCCTGCACTTAGTTCTGAGTAGTTTGGGTCGAAATGCCTGTAGGACATTGAGACAGCCAGTAACACTAAGTGGATGGATGTCTGTGTCTGGACTTGGGCAATCTGAGCTTGAGGCATGCCTTTGGGAGCAGGTAAGTGGAAGTGGAATTTTGGGCATAAATTAAGTCACACTGGGAGAGTGCAGTGTGAGAGGAAAAGAGAGTTAAGAGTGGGACCCTGAGAAACACCATCGCTGAAAATGCATGCACAGGAAACAGCCTGCTTACAACTGTGGTAAGAAACTGAAGGTAAACGAACATTGTTTCTTTCTTGCTTCCAGTGTCTTCCCCTATCATAAACACCAAAGTAGGCAACGTGGTGGCAGTGATGGGCAGCGCACAGTGTGCAAGGCTGCGCGGTGCTGCGCGGGAGGCTGAAGTGGGAGTGGAATGGCGTGGGCATGAGCTCGTGTCCTAGAAAGCTGGAGCGAGGCCTGGGAATGGGAATTTCTGGATTCCATGCTTTCCTCTGCCGCTTCACACGGCAACAGACCCCTTTCTTTATTCTGAAGTCTGCAACCATAGATGCTGCGGGAAAAATCTTTCTGAAAATTGGAAAGAGAAGTGCAATGAAGGAGCAGGAACGGTTGAAGAAAGGAGAGGAGGTGCCTTCTTGTTGAATGTGTGTGCATATGTGTCTGTGTGAGCCTGTGCACACACAGGAGTGTGGAAGTGTATTATGTGTCTCTTTTCTTGGTATGTATGTGTGTATGTGTACAACTTGTGTACACTAAGTCTCCAGCTTACCAACATTCAAGCTGCAAACTTAAACAGGTGTACTATGTAAGGCTCACTTCTTCAGACTTAGGAATGAATCCAACTTATGAACATTCTCCAGAACAGAACTTGCTCATAATTCGGGGATTTACTGTATGCATTTCTGTCTGTAAATATCAAGGTAAGTACTGAAATGAAGAGGAAGCAAACTTACATGGCATCTTGACAGAGGGATTTGATGTTTTTTTTTTTTTTTTGTCTTTTTCATTTTTATCGGTACCAAGGATCGAACTCACGAAACCTTGCTTGCAAGGCAGGTGCTTATGCCGCTGAGCTAAATCCCCAGCCCCTGTAAGTTTTGTTTTGTTTTTTGTCTTTTGGGATTTGATGTTAACTGAGTCTAGTAGCAAGAAATTTTGGCTTGTATTTTCTTTATCTGTGTGTTCCATTCATTTCTTAGAATTCATTTAACATATTTTACAAAAGCGTCGATCTAAGCAGATTGCATATGAACCTGCTCCTTCACTGCTGCTAGGACAGCACTGATCAAGATTCTTCACAGGTCCTGATTCTGAAATTCCCAGGGGAGGAAAGTTCACCTCAGAAGGCTGAGGCTGAGGTCCTGAGTCACATCAGAGAAGCATCATCTCAAGTACTTAGCACAAATAAGGGCTCAGGCCTCAAGAGTGTGATTGCTGTCCTGGGGCTCTCAATCTGTTCTCCTTTTCCCCTTCACGAGAGATGTATCGGGCAGCAGGATTTGAGGCAAGTCTCCGGGACCTCAGCAGCTCAGGGTGCAGTTTTTCCTCTTGCCACAGAGCAGGCGAGGCTGATGTCTTCCAGAGGCAGGAAGCTGTTTCAGGGTCCTGGAACAGCACTGTAGACTTCCATACTTCCCTCCAAACAATAATGTACAGTGATGGTTAATTGAGATATGTCAACTTCACTTAAGTAAGAACAGCCTAGCAGATTAGTAAAGAGCTGAATGTGTCTGTAGATGACTGACCCGGAGGTCAGGAAACTGAGTGGGGAGGACCCGCTCCAGCTGTGGAAGCATCAACCAATAGGCTTGCAGCCTGGACTGAATAAAAAGGAAAGGAGGAAATATCCCTGCTCTTTGCTGTTGCCTTTGGACATTGGTTTCTGCCTTACTCCGCTTTCCAGCATAGATTCTTCCACCTTCTAGGGCCGACTCTTTAGCCTTCTGACACCGATTTCACACTGACTACAGTGAACTTCCGGGCCTTCAACCTTCAACTGCTGCTGGAGCGTCCAGTCACCAGTGGGCAGGCACCATTCTGGATTTTTCTACCCCCGATCCCATAGGTGACTATGTGACTCTTCTGTTTTTGATCCTGTAAGCCTGCCTAATAAATCCCTTTGTATACTTAGACATATTTTTATTGATTCTGTTCCTCTGGAGACCCCTACCTAATGCACATACACTCAGTCAGGAAGAGTAGGGTCTTTTATTTCAGCAAAATCAGACACATTCCTTTGTCCAACACAGATTCCTGCCCACATTATATGGCTGCTCCTGTCTAGACGTCCTTTGAACCTATCAACAAAAGCCTTTCTAGGGCCCTAACTTATGTTGCATTTGTAATTTTATATTCTTTTCCTTTAAGAAGGTCTTCAAACTTACACAAGCTACCTCCCTCCCCCAAGACATCTGCATCTGTCATTGCTGAGCTCCCAAGGGCAGAGAGTACCAGATCTAACAAGGTAAAGTGAGCGACAGGTCTCCTTCCCTCATCACTGAAGCATCTGTACACGCCCCCCCCCCCAAGAATTACAAAGAATGTGAAGTTGGGCTTATGGAGGAAAATGATACTTGCAAAAAGGGTAAAGATTAGAAAGAATCTAGGAAGAAATGCTGCAGCAGTCTGCAGAACTTGGAGGAGAACTTCAAGACTTAGATAATACTCCCTAAATGTCCAGGAGCCAATGAGTGTTGTGATTATCCTTCCAGTGTAGAAGGTCACAGGCCCCATAGTAAGGCACATCCGAACACTTTTCCTTCCACTTGTAGTCTGAGTACCTCCCAGGAGTATACTCACACCTGGCCAGGGACACAGGTTCCAGTGGCAGATTTTATATCCCTTCCTGCAGGCTATGATGGAGGTCTGGCAGGTAGCAACCACACTAGAGAAGAGTGTTTGCAGGACGGTGTTGAGGGGTTTGTGGTGCTTTGTGTACTTGTCGATGTGGCCCATCATTGCTGAGCTGCAGGCTTGAGGGCCAGGGGGCTTGTGAGTTTCAAACCGCTGAGCTGAGATCATGTTTCTGGGCTTCTCATTGTCTGGACCCCGGCCATCCACAGCCCCAGCAACAGAAACAGCAGCAGAGAATGGAGCTCTGTCCTGGCTGGTGCTTTCTCTCCTAAGAATGCAGACACTGGAACAGAGGGGAGGGGTAGGTGGGTCATGGGAGAGGGGCTGCTAGTCCTCATGAATTTCATACCAGAACTTCAGGGGTCCAGAAGCCCAAGATATTAAAGATATTGAAGGACACCACTGGCATTTTATTGCTTAGTTACAGAAGATAACTTTTTTCCCTGTTTTTTTGAAACAGAGTATCTCTATGTAGCATAGGCTGGCCTCAACTTTTCAATCTTGCATCAGCCTCACAAATTAGGGAAACTTCCCATTATCACATGACTAAAGGCCATCATAATACAGGATTTTAATTAAGACCTCCATTTTCAAAGATCCTATTGTTTCTACACTCCCATGTTTCTTCCTTCTTCTTTTATTTTAATGTATTATTTTATTTTTTGAGACAGGTTATCACTATATAGACCAGACTGGCCTCAAAATCACAGAGATCCTCCTGCTTCAGTCTCCTGAGTGCTAGGATTACAGGCGTGCATTATCATGCAGGGCCACGTGCTTCATTTTTTGGTGTGTGTTTTTGTGTGTGTGTGCGTGTGCATGTGCACTTGGGTGAGTGGGTATCTCTTTTTTTTTTGAATCTCTGAGAAGTCATCAGGAAGGGAAATTACTCTTTGAAGACAAAGGCCAGAGCTTTCCCATGATTGCTTAGGTGTTCTTGAAAGTCTTGGTATTTAGGTTGTAGAGTCAGGCTCCTTCCTTTCCAGCCTGTAGCTATGTTTGTTCCTGAAGTTAGAGGGAACTGGTCACTCTGCCTTAGGGAGCCACTTCTCCAATCTGGCAAAGCAGCGTGGTGAGCTGGGTTCTTTTCATGCCTGTTGGAGAACATCTTGCAATGATAGAGCTGAAAGAGGTGGAGATCACCTCAACTGACAGCTTCACTGTGTAGGTAAAGGTGTTTAGGGACCTAAAAAGGCAGTGCCCTTCCCAAGGCCACTGAGGGTGTGACAGGACTGGGGGAGGGCCTGGCACTTCCTTTCTAATGGACCCTTTGTCAGTGGCAGCTACAATTGGTAGGACAAAGAGCTTACCAGGGAGGCAGAGCATAGTGAGTGCTTCTCTGCGGTTTTAGGAGGTACAGGAACACTGCATAAATAACCCCTTCAGCCCTCTGATAACATCTGGGAGAAAGTCTCCTCTTAGAACAAGAAGGTCAGTTCCGTTCTGATATTTGTTCTTCCTCCTTTTTGATAGACCTCAGACCTCAGACTGAGTCTTCAACTGAATAATATCTGGAAAGAGTTTTTAAAAACCAGATGACATTCACTATATATTTTTTAATTACAGTTTATTAAGTAACCCTAGTGTTCTGTGACAGATGATTATACAACTTCATTTGCAAAAATTATTTTAATTAAATAAGTAAATATATAGTTAGTACATTACAATACTGAAGCAAGTGAATCTTATGAAAATTGTCAGAAAAAAACAAATAACTGTAATTTTTGGAAACTTGCTGATTGGTAGGGTTCTTTAGAGCAACAGAGTCAACAGAAAATATATGCATAATTATGTAATGGGATTTATTAGGTAGGCTTACAGGATCTGAATGTACACTGGAGAGCTGGAGAAGCCAGTAGTTACTCTCAGCGCTTTAAGAGGAAGGCTACTAGAGCAAGAGGGATGAATACCTTATTTTCTCTACCCATTCATGTGTTAATAGATAGATGGATTGCACCTGAGATTTAGTTACTATGATTGTGCTGTTGTAAACATGCAGGCCAAGATCAAAGGCCTGGGAGCTCATGGGAGAGTTACCAGTATGAATCTGGCATGTGTTGGAAGGCTAAAGAAATTGGAGACTGATGTCCACAAGTAACAGCAGCAAAAGACGCACTCTCTCAAGTGAAGTAGAACCTTCAAATAATAAACTTTCTTCCTTCCCTTTTATTCCATCCAGGCTACAAGTGTTTTGGTTAATTTCACTTACAACTTTGGAAATATCTCCCCAGATATACTAGGGACTAGGCTTTATCAGTCCATTAAGTGTTGCTATGATTCAAGTCTAGATGTCCTCCCAAAGCCTTATGAGATCATGAGTGGCTTTTCCATGATGGCCGAATCCAGCGTTTGTGATTGGTGCATTTTCAGTGCTGGGGTTGTGGGTGTGCGTCCTATGCCTGCCCTGGGGAGGGTAACCTGCTTATGATATGAGGCAGGGGAAGAGGCTTGTTCTCCCTTCTTTCGTTCCTGCTGCTTTTGCTGTCTTCTGCCGCCATGAACTGTTGCCCCTCTGCCTTGTACCACCCTGCCTTGGAACCAGTGGATAACGGACTGAAATCTTTGTGAGCTAAATAGACCTTTCCTTCTTCAATATGGGGTGTTGGGTATTTTGTTTTCCACTGACCTTAATAACAAGGCATGTGAAGGTTGAAGTTATGTACTAAACTAAAATCAAAATAGATCAAAGATCTAAATATTGAGACAGAAACATTTAATTAGGTGGAAGACAAAATAGTTGAACTCTTAGAGACATAGACATAGGCAAAGCTTTACTGAATAGAGCCCTGATTGCACAAGAAATAATACCAAGAATCAATAAATTGTATTACATCAAATTAAAAAGCCTCTGCAAAGCAAAAGAAACTACCAACAGAGTGAAAAAAAATACCTACAGAATGGGAAAAAATTTTCCAGTTACTCTTTGACAAAGGACTAACATCTAAAATGTATTAATAACTCAAAAAAATTAAACCCTTAAAGAGCTGGGCATGATGATGCACACCTGTCACCCCAGCACTTGGAAGATGAGGCAGGTGGACTGCTGCAAATTTAAGGCCAGCCTAGGCTACACAGTAAGTTCTTGTACTACAAAGCAAGACTCTGTCTCCAAATAAGTAAACAAATAGATAAATAAACCCTCAAATTTAAAGACCTTATCAAAAATGTGCTACAAAAATGAATAGATACTTCTCATGAATGAAAAAGTACAAATAACTAATTAATATATGAAAAAAATGTTTGATATCTCTGGCCATCTGAGAAATGTGAATTCAAACACAGAGATTCCATTTCATTCCAGAAAGAATGTCTATCATCAAGAAATCAATCAGTAACAAATCCTGGTGAGACTGTAGGAGAAAGGAACTCCTCTCTGTTTTTGGTAATTGTAAACTGATACAACCACTATAGAAATCAATATGGAGAGTCCTCAAAAACTAAAAATAGAAATTCCATGGAATCCAGCTATTCCCTTCCTGGTATATTTCTAAAAGAGTTAAAGGCATTATATTACAGTGATCCCTGCATACACTGTTTATGGCAGCACAATTTGTAATAACTAAATCTTAGAAATAGCCTATATGTCCATCAACAGATAGGCTGGGTAAAAAAGCATAGTTTTTAAAAATTTTCTTGTCTTTTTCTCTTTTATTGGTACCAGGGATTGAACTTACAACCACACACTTGCAAGGCAGGTGCTTATGCCGCTGAGCTAAATCTCCAGCCCCAAAAAGCGTAGTTTTTTTCTTTCTTTTTTAAAAGGAAAAAGAATAAAAATGATCATACAGAATTTCAAAATATCCCCAGTACCAAACAAAATTCAAAACAAAATAACAGGAAATTAACAAAGATTAAGCCCCATTGTTATCTTCAAAGTGGTTGCTCAGATTACACGATACAGGCATGAAAAAAATGCTCTAACAATGAAAGCACAAACTGTTCTCGATGAACTAACATTGATTAGCAGTACAAGACTATCTGTCTTGTACATATATATGTTATATAAATACTATCTTGTCTCTTCTTTCTTTTCTCCTTTCCTCCATTCCAGTCATTCTTTCCTTTTCCTTAGAACTATCTTTGTTCTTTGCTCTGAGCCATTTCTTCCCCTTTCACTTTCACAATATCTATTGTACATTTTGGATCTTATTTACTCTTTTAGTTTTTTATAGTAGGAAGACAATATGATGTTTACACATGTGTCTGATTCATTTCACTTATGAGTATGGTCTCAAGTTGCATCCATTTACCTATAAAAGCCTTGAGTTTAATCTTTCCT